TTAGAGATGAAGTAAAATACCCGTACGTATTTTATACGTAACTTTTCCGAACCGTATTTTACTAACTATTCCTACATAAATGGTTTAGTGGTCCACTTTTAGGAACAACATGTCACTAGTAAAAAAGAAATGGATAGTTGTTGATTCAATTCAACCATATACTAACAATTTAGCTAAAAGGGTAGCATCAAAACTTGAGAGCAAACTACAAAATTAGGATTACCTTCAATATACTAATAGACTCGATCAATACTCAAATTCAACTTCTATTAATAAATGCTTAGAATCTCAGCTACGCCACTCTAGTCAAACCATGGTCCACTATCTTGATCAGGTCAACTGTTGGAATCAATTTGACAACCATTGTTGCATGAGGTGCACATTTTCAATTCGTCAAATCCCGCCATCCCTAAACCCTAGTTTCCCACTCTCCGTCTACAATGCCGGGACTCGCACCGGGCGATTCCGCCGGAGGAGTGCCCGACTCAGTCAACAGAACACTCGTCAGATTCTCATGTTTCAGCTATATACCCGCTTGCCGCTTCGACACGGTCTGAACCCACCAATCTCCCGCGTCTCCGTCTCATGGGGCCGTGGCAACTCGCTCCGCGTCTCGGTATTCAGGCAGCCGGATTCCGATCCCAAATCCGACGGAGAAGTCGGCGGTAAAGTGGTGGAGGTGACTCTGGGAAAAAGCAGGGACGGCGAGATCAGTGATGCCCAATGGCGCAAAATTGCTTACGGTTCCATCCTGACCTTTTTTTTTTTTTTTTGAAAAGGAAGAAGGTTTGATGCAAGAATGTTGATATGACTTGAATCGGACTATCAGCCGCTACGACTGGTAATCGGGGGTGCGGGGGCAACGCCCCCGGCCCACGGTGTATGGGCTCAATGTTATTTGGGTTCGGGTTCTGGGCCTGGCCTGTAACCGTTTCCTTTGCTAGATTGGATTAGGTTTAGACCCACATGGAGAAGTATTATAAATACTTCTCATACTCCTCTGTAATCTGTAATCTCCTCGATATAGTGAAATCGGCTCTCTCTCGCCCGTGGACGTAGCTAACACACATCGTGTTAGTGAACCACGTAAAGCGTGTGTCGTGTTTTCGATTCTCGCTTTCGTATTCTTGCTTGGTCGATTCCGGCGATTTCCCGATCCGTAGCAGCGCGTTTATAACTAAGAAGGAAGAAGCTCTTTGTTTAATAGTGTTTCCTTACAAACGAAGAGCAGCGGTGGCCCTGATCGACTTCGTCGGAGGAAGACTTCGGCAACCTACGGGGCGCCATTGATGGCTGGATTTTGTCAGTGTATCCAATACAGAGCTCTTTTACTCTGTTTTCTTAGTAAGACGCCTATCGTCTTGAACAACATGGTCTCCATGGCCAAGTTTAAACATCATCTAATCTAATGGTTTTCTATTAAATAAGATCCTCTGTTAATGGCTGGAATATGGTGGTATCGTTGGTGTGCTTATCTTGGATTAAAAAAAAGCAATAAGACACAAAATTAGACACTTCTTATCGATCAGTTCCATTTGATTGAATAGAGAATCGACATTAACTTTAGTAAATCAATCAAGGTTTCCTCATTTTAATATAGACATATATTGTGGTAGCTCCAACAACGTATACCTAAAGATCCAATAGCCAGCACTCTTCAAGGTAAAACCAACTTTTATCCCCTCTATCTTTCAATCTCAAGATGCATATGTTTTAACCGAAAATTAACTTTATAATCCTCCTTCTGCAACACCAGTTCTACTACTTTGATTGACATTCTCTTAGTGACCCTCAGTTTATCTTCCAATTGGGGTTCTTGTCAACTCGCTACTCAACTCCTCAATCCTCTAATCGTATTTGGTAACTCATCTTCAGCAGGGGCAGTTCTAATAAACTCAGTTAAACCAACACTCATCTCCAATTCCATCAAATATGCTCATCTCCCCCTTGTCTTCTTTCACCTACTCCAGTCCGCTTCCATGCCCTTCAATACTCTCCATTTTCATTAATATCCTCATCATCTCCCACTCCTTTGTCTTCAATTGCTCCAGTTTCGCTTCCATGTCTTTCAATACCCCCCTTAATTCGATCACTACTCTCATCAACTCCCTCTTATATGCCTTCACATGTTGCAGTTGAACTTTACCTACTACCAGATCCAAAGACAGTGCGGAGAGCATTAGATATGACAAAATCAAAACTGAGCAGAAATATTGTAATTGAAAAATAAACATTTTCTTCTTATAAAAGATGGGAAGTAAAAGAACACAAACTATTACACAATGTATGGAGTTTAAGAGGAAGATAGTAAGGGATAATAACAAAGATAAGAAAATACAAAGATACAAACTTAAATTAAAAATGCAATGACACAACACGTAGTAAAAGAAATAGCTTTTTTCATGTTAGTCAATTACCATTAGAGAGCATTAAATCAAAAATGGAGAAAATTATATGAAACTCTACTATGAAAATCAAAGTATCAAGCACCATAAAATATTTACAGGTGACTTAGTGGGCTAGTTAATCATGATGGAAAGTCCTCCGTTTTTTAGAGTTACACTTCGTGTATGTTTTCTATCAAGAAAGATACAACAAATTTGTTTAGTGTAATTAGTTATGATGGTTGTCTTTGTTTGAAAGGACTTTGGTTCAAATCCTGATATTGATATTTTTTTTTTATATGGAATAAACAAATAATTGTAAAGACTAAATAACCCTTCCTATTTTTACTCTCGTTGTAGGAAATTTGAAATGAAGAAAAGTACACAAAACTCTACCATATATTATTGGAGGATTTACTCATTTTCGCCATTAGAAGCCAGGCAGTACACTCCCTACCCCCAATTAAAATAAATTTTTTTTTACAAATTAGCTATCATTTGGGTGGATCATATTCACCATTATCATTTGTACATACCTCGTTATAAAAATTGAATATGTCAATATACAACTTATAAATCATACATAAAATATTGAAAGCTCAACCATTCTCATTTATATACGTGTTAATATTCATACGAAATTAACTATTAACCATTCTCCCGGGATCCAACCTCTAACCCTCTCCCTCCATCTTATACCAACCTGGTATAGGGGGTGGTAACTAATGGTAATGACAATTCGTATATTCATATTATCATGTACTTCAACCATCTTACAATATTTTATGTTCATACCACCATGGTACACTTCCATACCACGTGGTATGATCTGATGTAGTGCCAAATACGGATGGCAACATAACTTGAACCCGGTCAACGCGTATAAAACCTGCATTTGATTATGGGTCGGGTTCGAGTTTAAACTCGTTTACTGTTTTGCGGGTTGGATTCGGGTTTAGCTGTATCCAACCCGCTCCTACCCTTACCCGTTCCCAACCACGAATCTCTTACCCACTTCCCATTCGGCCATTCCCCATACTAATCTTCGTTAAATTTGTGGCGACATGTCGGTCAAAAGGTATTGAATTAGAAATGGATATATCACTCGCTAAAGAATTTTAATTCCCGTTTCGTTAGTCCATCGGATCCTCATTTCTTAAACCCTAGTCCGGCTGAGGATACAGTGAGTAACTGTTGGTTACTCACTGGTCAGTAACTAACCCGGAGCCATAGATCTAGGATGGAGCAATCATGTGATTAGGATTGATGTGGGTGGGAAGGAGTATTTTTGTCCACTTTTTGAATTTTTAATTGTTTCCTTTTTTAAAATTATCCAGCATTTATTAGCTTGATTTTCAATAGAGGAGAGAGAGTTAGTGTATTTTCTCTGCAACTCTCTTTTCCTCTTTCTTTTCCTCTTTCTTTGTTCCTTCTCTCTCCCACTCTTCTTCTTCTCTAGATCTAATCTCTTCTTTAGTACTTCATTTTTTCTCTCTAGCAATCGGTGAAGGAAAACTGGAGCCTCCTCCTTTTGTGAATTCTTCAACCTCAAAATTGGTGATGCTCCATATCGACTAAGAGGGGACAGGTCTAGGTGAGTTTGAATATTTTATGTTTTAATATTTGTTTGTGAATTTTCAATTCCGATCTTCCTCTTTTTATCTTCTTTTGTTGTTCTCGATTGTAGAGGAGGAAACGAGAGGAGGCAAAAGAATGGCATGTGAAGTATGTCTTAGTTATATGTATATTTTTGTTACCATACCATGCCATGGTGGTATTGTGTTGTAACTAGATGTGTATTGTGGTTACCATACTATACCATATGATAATGTGTGGTAACTCGATGTATGCATAGGATTACCATATTTTACCATGATAGTAGAGGGTGGTAATCAACACCAATGAAGGTGTGGAAAATAAATGTATTTTTCTACATATCATATTTTACTATTGTCGTAGAGGGTGGTAATTATATTTATATTTGTTGTTATATGGGTTTATACTATGTGGAATTGTATGGTAATTATGATTAATTTATGGTTATTCGATTTACCATGTTCTACTATAGTGGTATTGTATGATAGTTAAATTTATAATTTTTTATAGTATGTTTTACCACGTTATACCATGTGATATTGTATGGTAGTTAGATTTCTAATTTTATTTTAGCATGTTATACCATATGGTATTGTGTGGTAATTAAATTTATAATTTTTTTTAGCATATTTTAGCATAATTTATCATGGTAGTAGAAAGTGATGGTCATATTCATACTTGTAATTACCCTTTTTAGCAGAGAATTATTAACAGAAAAAATCATCATTCAATTTGAGTTTGAGTTGGAGCAGAGAGAGTCTAGATTGTTAATTTTATATTTGTTTTAGAAATAAAGTTAGAGTGGAGAGAGTATGTACTAAATAATTTAAATTTTATTTAATGATAGATAAAAGAGTATCAGAAGGGAACGCGTGGGGAAGGGTAGTGAGGTTCATGTTCGGTCAAAACTAAGTATCAGGTTGTTAGTATTAAATGAGGGGTGGTTGCAAATTACCCTACTATCCCTCCGTGTTTCATTTAAATAAAAGGGAACGACTCAGATGCAGACAAGTGGAAGATAGAAGAAGGAGTTACACATGATTATCGAAGATAGGGTTACTGAGGTGATCCGACCCTAGTCCTACTAGTTCAGAAACTCGTAAATGTTAACCGCTTGCGAGTTTTCTCCGGCCTCTCCGCTTGCAACTATCCGGTTGCTAGGACCTAACTTGTCGGCCGAATTGCTCGGGATTTGCCTCTCTATATCCAGTTTAAGCTCATAGCTGGCAAATGGAGGGATTGCAGAATTTCGTCCGCTACGTCTCAAAGGAAATACAGTCCATAACTTCCTCTCCTTCCTCGTCGGAGAAATCGTACGATCTCGGTGGCAAATTAGGACCCGCCACCGCTACTTTATCTTCTTCCACTGCCAACCACTCTCGTGTCCTTGCGGTCAGGCCCCCCAGGTTGCTAAACCTTACTTCCAACCCCTGAATTCGGTTTTTCCTCGCCATATACTCATTGAAGTAGCAGCAGCTTGCTTTTGAGTTTCAGCTTGATTTAGCCATTGTTTTGATGTGGAATCATTTGTAGCTAGCGTCTGAATTGCTATTGAGAATGCATCATGTATTTCACTCTTCTCGTCGGAAGTTTTACTGGGTGGGTGCTTGAATTTGTAAGCTTGAGGGACTCAGTTACGTATGTCTACTTAGGACTGCTATTTGTGCTTTCAGTTTGTTCCTTTTATTGCTTGCCAAACTAAGTGGTTGAATGTCTTGATGAATGGTGATCATCAATCTGATTATCAATGCATAATGAAGAGCTAATGTTTGTTCTAGTGCTTGCCTAAACTTAGCGGGTTATGTTTCACATTGATCCAATTAGTTAAATCTCCAGACATATTCTAACTGGCACACTGAGTTTCGGGAGACTCTTATGAAAATTCGCCTGGTAGATTGTGTGAATTGCCAACACATTTTGAACCATCCGGCACCATTCACTTGGTTGATGAGTTTTCCTAGTGAATCACACCCTTCTGCAATCTTGCATAATATCTTATAGGGTGAGTGCAAGTGGTTAAGTGGTCTAGTTATGTAATAGTTACTCCTGTGTTCAATGCATTTGGAATATGTGGAATTCTGTTCTTCGGCAAATCTTAATACATTAAAATGTGATTCTAATTATCTTCTTTGCAGCATGCTATATTTTCAAGCTTTCTGAGATCAGATGTTTCGTGTTTTGTACGATAGCAGGAACATGGTGTCTGCGTGGACCTGCTCCAAGCTCTGCTTGCTTTTCTTTGCTGCTGGAATCGTGACTGGTTATAGGTTCAAGAGGCGTGTCCGTATCTGGGCTTCTAGGCTTCTTAAGAGGTTGAAAGATGACTGACTGACACCAGTAAGGCTTCTTTATCTGTAATTCGTGAGACAAAGTTGATGAAATTTAGAGTTCATATTTCTTGACACGATTTCAATTGATGTACTCATGTGAAGCTAATGCAAAATCATGCTATGGATCGTTAAAGTCTCAGATGTTCATTTAGCAAGTAGGGAAGAACTTCAACTGTCAGAATTTGTATTTACTGCATTTCTAGGTTATCAGCCCCCGGTATTTTGTCAAAATTTTGCTCATCCAAGTACAGAAGTTATATTACCATTTATGGTAGGTAACTCAGAGATAAAAACATGTCAACCCTCTAAAACCCCCCTGTTTCAGAACTTGTTTTATTGAAAGATGAAGTCTTGCGCATGAATTGACCGTGCCTTCCGCCACTCTAGGTTATTTAATCGTCTGAGATTCTCTCTTTAATGTCATGTTTTCACTTCCAAATCAAAAACTTGATTTGCAATGCTGTAGAGGTATACCTGGCTAGGTGCTGAAACTAAAATACTCCTCCTTTCTCCATAATAATTAAATTGTCTTATCTAATTAGCAGCCCAACTAAGTCAACCTCATGATTGAGCAACTTCCTTGAGAGCTACAATTTCCCCTTCATTGACTTGTACTGATCCATTTTCATTTCTCAATATGCTAGTAGCTAGCTAGCTGTCTGCTGTCGAGGTAGTTTAAACATGTTGTAGCTACTAGTAGTACTCACATATATACAAACAAAGTAACCATTTTTCTCCTTCAGATTATACTTTATACCATTGCAAAAAGCTGTTCTGAATGTGACTTGATTTACATTTCGTGAGCTCTGGTAACAATTTATATGTATACATATATATCTCTCTCTTATATCGCGCTTTCCAAATTATTTAAATTATTAATTACAAAAAGAAAAGAATTCCTTTTTTTCCCGGCAACAGGGGTTAACAATTTTGGAAACCATGATGTTGCTTGTTTGTCTCAGAAATATTCCTTGTGAAACTCGAATCTGGTCGTGGTCTTATGATTCATCTCTTGTGATAGCTTCTTTAGCTCCTTTGCCAACATAGGCATCCCGCAGTAGAACACCCCTGCAAAATAATTCAGTGGTATAGTTTGCTCAAGGTTGCTTACTAGGAACATAGATGATCTGTTAGTAGAGATGATGCAGGTTAGTTTTGGTTTGATTTATTATACCTATTGTGGCGAAGGGATGCTTTGAAGCTATTTTGGTGAAAACTTCTCTCCAATTTGGCCTGGCAAAGTGTGTCCTTACCTGTCAAGAGGGATATTTAGGGTCAAAATGCCAACTTTCTGCCACTTGTTCTAAGGTATTATATTTTAGGAAGGGATAGAGATATATATATATATATATATATATTAGTAATTCATACCCTAGTGCCAGAGACGATGTCAACTCCATGTTTAGCGTGGTTGAGAGCTTGAACCATGGTGATCAAAGTTGACCTTGCATCTCCCTCCTCATATACACTTGTCAAGTAGTTGTGCATCTCGATTTGACCCTTTTTTCCATTGATAATTTTAAAATAACCCCATGTTAGAAACTCATCATAGAAAACTGACAACAGTCTGGATGATTGACAAGTCTTTTCTGAACTTACTTTGTGATCCATCTCTGCAACTTCATCCATAACTCCTTTAAACCATTCAAAAGATCCTGATTCTCTTGTTACCCAGTAAAAGTGAGCATTGGTGGTTCTCTGTGTTTTCTTCTTACCGTTGCTCCCAGCTGTGGCGCTCGAAGATGCGTAACTATTTGAACTGTTATCTGATATACTTGTATCTGTATTTGAATCCTGCACCATTGTCACACACACAGAGAATAAGAATCAATTGATTTTGAAACAAAATGACAGCTTCGGTCTACAAATTCACTGAGCCAAACACATCCTAGTTTTTTATTGGGCTAGGAAGGAAATACCGTTTGATAGTCTGTCGTTCTGGTGTTATTTAACAGATCCCTGAGGATGCTGATGAAAGGGGTAGCCCCAATCCCCAATCCCACAAGGAGTAGAACGTCATAGTTCTTGTAGTCCTGTGCCGGAGCCCCGTATGGACCATCCAGATAGAGCTTTGGCTGTCTGCAGAACAGTATTAACTTGTAAGACTACTGAGAATTTGTTCATTGATGTAGATCAACAATATAACGAGATGAGTAAATTCAGAGTTGATGAGCTTTGTTATTACCCTCTGTGATCCACACTCCCAAGGTGGCCGAATCTAGCTCGACCAATGACGGTCGATGAGTCATTGACCTCGGTGAAAACTCGCTTCAACTCCTGTGTCCAGTCACCCACTATCCGGATATGGACACTCAAGTACGGGTCTCCTGGTGCCGAAGTTATCGAAAACGGATGCCTGCAAATTCAGAAGCAACCCTGCCTAGATTAACAGGGAGCTCATAGGCAAAATGTTTCAGTTCGAGTTGCGGGGGTTCACTCACCACTCGAAAGAAGAAATGGCGGGGCATTGAAGGAACATGTACTGCCCACTCTTGTACTTGAATCCCTGTGGTTTTGACATTGTTAAGCTGAAAACGTCTCCTGGCAAAACTGATACCTGCCAGAAGATTCAAGTAGACAATTGAGAACCAAAATCAGGTAAGCTCATCTCAGGAGCTGAAACATGCAATGAACATTATATTTGTAACACCTGAAACCACATACCCTTAGAATCTTAGTAGAGCAATGCTCTGATCTGCAGGTACGCATGCTCCTCTCCATCACATACAACAGCAGTGGAGCCGAAATATACATCCACGTCTGCAACATCAATCCGACGACCACAAAGTACTCAGTTGCCAGGTGAAGATCATGTTCAGTACTGTTAACAGAGTTACAGAGAAGGTGGATACTAAAAGAAGCAGCAGAAGGAAAGCTTACATTTCTCTCGTACCACTTGGTGGCGAAGTAGAGGAAGGTTCCATGGACAAAGAGCATAATGTAGACGATACAAGTAAGGTGATGCGAGTACCAGAAGGCGTTGAACCCTGTCAGCCTATTGAAAGGTGGAGGCAGCCTCACCACATTCCTCCTGAACTGGCTGGTCGCCAGGGTGAATGCAATGGCCAGCAGCAGCACCATGGAGATCCCTGTCACGCCTTCAATGCTCGCCAACAGATCCCCATATGTAGGCTTCTCGCCTTTGAAATCGGATGCTATCAGGTCGAATTTCTCCGGCGAGGCATTCGCCAGGCGAGGGAAGTCGCAGCCTAAGTGGCTGCCTCCGTGAACGAGGACCCCGACGGCTATTGCAATCGCAATCATCTTGTGGAAGTTGATGTTGTCGTCGAAAGGGACGACGGCCCTGGCCCTGGTGGAGCGAAGCCAGGTGATGGTGTTTCGACAGACGGGGAAGAGGATGAGAGCCATGTTGAGCTTGAGAGTCTCGGCGGCGCCTTTGGCCGTGGCGAGGCAGTTGCCCATCACCTGATATGCGGCTTTGTCTTTGTAGACGGAGAACTTCCAAGCGAAGAGGCAGGCCATTGCCGTCATCCAGAGGGTCAGAATCCAGCCTCGCTGCCAGTTCTCCAGGATGAGGCACCTGAGTTTGAAGGTGAGCCTGCGGGCCAGGTTGTGCGGCCTGAATGTGGTCAGGTTCTGGCTCCATCCATTGACGCTTGTTGTGCTCAGTGGCCTGCTGTAGTTCATGTACGTGTCTCTCCGCAGAAGAAGTGTTTCTAGCTGCCATAACTGGTCGAAAGCCAAAACAGAGTATGAAATAATGAACACTTAGATACAGTAACATAAAGGAGGATGGTAATTAGTAATTACTAATTACCCATCATTTAGTAATTTAAGACAAACCAAATTGTATCATCAATTGCGGCTGGAGACTGGAGTGATTAACAGGAACATTACTTTTGTTTTTAAATAAAATATATGAAGAGAGTAATATTAAATATATTCGGAATTAGAAGCACCAAAGTATATGCATTTCTGGAATTTAGTGGTTTACAAGTAATTAGCGGGAAAGTTGGATCGGAAGCATCAATAATGCAGCATGTATTTAATGTAATTAAACTAAAAAGGATTGATCATATTATATAATAATAATTAAGTAATGAGCTGGAGATCGTGAAAGCGGGTGGGCGAGGGAGTTGAGGAATATTGGGATAATGGAATCCCACTTCTGGTAAGACTTCGGTCAGAAACAAACGGAAACTTGGGTTGCACGTAACCTAGCCCATTCCCAAGTTTGTAGTATATTGTTTGGTGACAGGTGTGTGCGGGTAAAAAGGCTTCAATTATAGACCTAGATAGATGGAGAGTAATTAGAAGCAAAATCGGGTTTTGGTATCGTATTAGATTAAAGTAAAAACGTCCGCCACCTAAAACTGTTGAACTTTTAAACCTAATAACTAACCGTTTTAAAAATACGTTTAATAATTAACTAAGAAATGTGACAGACGGAATGGAGAGTTTGGGTAAGGAAACCCCTCCAGTCCACACATGTGGGGAGTGGCATGGATTTTGTGAAGTAACAAATTCGAATTTAGCTGGAGAGAAATTCGTCCCGAAAAAGGATAAGTCGAAATGAATATACACAATGAAGAATAGTGAGTGGGTAATTAATAACATATACCAATCGATTTACTTACCTCAATGTATCCAAGATTTTCAGGATCCAGCTCCTCCATTATCAATGACGCATACTCTTCAGCTTGCTCTTTCAGTTTCGACAGCTTGTTAGCCGACGCGCTCAGCATTATCAGCTGCATCATACATACATGTTCATCATTCAGATCGACAAGTATGCGATATAATCGTTATTTAAGGTGTGCAAATCAAGCTATCTCAACATCAAATAATAAAGGTTGATTTGATTTATCTTAGAAATCAACGAGAAAATGGTACCTCCTGGACCTCTTCTCTTGTGATCCTTCCATCGTCGTTGCTATCTGCCCTGCACAAATTATATCATCCTTGTGATCCTTTGTTCCCGTTATACATTAGTTACTAAGTAGATTAAAAAGGACAATATTAGCTTCAAATCTATCATCAATTCGTTTGAAAAACAAAAAACATTCTTACGTTACGCTATTAAATCACTCTTTCTTCGGAGCATAATTATTTACAAAATTATCATCACGTCGATCAACAACGGTAACTCGTAGTAAAACGGCGGCGCAGATCCCTTACTTACATGTCGAAGAAAAGTTGAAGGCGGGCGTCGAAGCTCTGGTCCGTAATCTGCAACCAGAACTCCCTCAGCTCTTCCTTATCAATCTTGCTCATCTTCTCCCCTTTCCTCCTCGCCAACGTCTCGAAGATACTGACCGCAAATTCCTTCGAATCCACCATCCCTGCCGCCGATCAATCAATATTTCAAAATCCCACTCAATTTTAAAGGAGATTAAATCGAAGAAGGAATAAGGCGGCGTATGTATACCTATGCATTCCCCGAAGTCCTCCCTGGCCAGGAACCCGTCCCGGGCCAGCGAGTCGAACCGGGACTCGACCCGCCGCCACAGCTGGTCCACGTCGATGCCGCCGCCGCCGCCACCACCCTCGGCGGCGCCACCCGCCTTGCTGATGAACCTCAGCCCCTTCAGCGCCCGCTCCGCGCTCGACTTGGTCCGCTGGAGGTTCGCCCGTATCCTCCTCGCGTCCCTCGCCGTGATGGCGACCCCGTCGGTCTCCGACGCCGCCGTCCGCGACGATCCGGACCTCAGCCACGCGAACTTCTGCCGGATCCTCGAAGTCGCCGACAGGCTCCTCCACAGGCTCTTGTTCCCCTGCGTACTACTGCGTCCTCCGTCCTCGCTCCCGCCGCCGTAGTGGTGATTGGAAGACGGCGTGGCGGCGGCGGAGGGAGGAGTGACGCTGCAGACGACGATGGAGTCGCTGTCCAGCTCCAGCGTCACCTCCACCAGCTCCTCCTCCCGCCGCTGCTGGTTCCCGCCGCCGTTTCTCCTGAGGTCGTCGAGGAAAACCGGCAGCATTGCTCCGCCGTGGCCGAGGTCGAGGTCGTCGCGGTCGCTGCCTGCAGGTCCAGCCTCGTAATTGTCGTCGGGGAGGTCGAAGGAGTGGCTGTAATTGGAGAGCTGGGAGCCGCTCCTCGCGAAGGACGGCGACGATCTCATTTCTTTTCTCTTTGTCTTCTCGTGCAGCTGCGTCGCACTGGATCTCTCCCCCTCTCCCTTGTTTCTCGCTCTTTCCGTTACTGGCTTTTATCTCGAGGTAGCGCTTTTTCCGGGGGTTGGCACGGCCATCGAAGCTTAGAGGTGAACGGTGAGGAATGGTGACACGCTTCAAGGAAGAACAACAATGGAGATGGCGGGAGGAAGAAGAATAAGAGAAAAAATTAATTAAAGAGAAAAAATGGTAGTTAGTTAGGACTAAGTATTAGATTACATTACCGCAGAAGAAGAAGAAGAAGGGAAGAAATAAAATAAGACAGACACCTTCCAACCGATCGACACCCACGATTTCAACGCCTTCGCCTTCAGTCGTGCTGAGAGAGAGGCCGTAGTAGTTGAGAATTATATATATTCTGATCTCCTCTCAGAGGCCAGTAGGGTTAATTAAGCTATCGCTAGCGAATTAACCTGCGGTGATGATGATTAGCCTCTATGGAATTAAGGTCAGAGTTGAGGAAATTAGTGGTTGTTTTATAATGCAACTAATTAAAATGCAAAGTAAGAAGGAAGGAGAGGGATGATGGGGGAGGGTGAGCGACATGGAATTTTATGTGTAATTGGGTCGGCGGCGGGGTCTTTTTATTATTGTACAAGTAAGCAAGTTCCATGTTTGATTAGGCTAAGCTAGCCAACTCTGGTTTCGTTTCTTGCAGTGCAATTTTTGGACTAAAATCGTCGTACCTTTTCTGAGGTTTGTTGTACTGCCATGCTGGGTTTGGCGATGTTGCTTAAACGCTTTTGAGTACTACAACTATGTATTGCATAACTAGCTAGCTTGGGTTCGATTAAGAGTTATTGCCAAATTCAACCAAACTATGTATATGGAACTTAATTCGATTAATCGAATATCTCACCAAAATTTGAGTTATTGAGATTAACTGATTTCTAATAGACTGATACAATATATGGCCTTTTTGTAATCGAGAGGTCGTTTGTTCGAATCTCATAACTCTCATTTGTTCAATTAAACACATGAAATTTGAACCTATGAAAACTTTTTTTTTCTTCTTATAGAAACATGTTATAACAAGAGTGCTACTAGAGGGGTGGAAGAGGAGGGAAACGAGTGTCGTTTCTAAGATTCTAACCTGGAGTCCTGTGCAAATCGTCAAGTCTATATGAGTGGCTTTTATTTGAAGAGAATGTGAGTAAATGGTATATGATCTATTATCGAACTTCTCTAAAAAAAACTCATAACTTATTGAAATCAGCTGATTCTTAACACATTTTTGTGCACATACTCATATGCGTGTATCTTTATCGATTGTATATTGCCAAACTTAATTTATATTGTTCTTGTCGAAATTATCGAGCGTTTTGTCTGCTAAAAACTTATCAAACTTGAAAATCACCTTATTACGTTTGTTTTACAAGTACGTATAGGACATTTACAGCGAAAGACTATCATAATCTTTTTTAAAAAAAATACAGGATGGAGAAGTTGCATAATTAAAACTCGAAAATGATTTTACTTTGCATCTCCAGTCTCCACTTATCATTCCTTTTCTTCCCAATTGTGTTTCTATACCTGTAAAATATTAGAATTTCTGGAAGAAAGATCCAATATCATATAAGAACAAAAGAACTATACGAGAATCTCACTGGATTAGTTAGTATTTATTTGTATTAATTTAATATATTTGTGAGACATGATAACAAATTGAACAAGTTAGGCATAATAATTGAATTCGAATAAACTAGCAAGACTTTGGAATTCATTCCAATCGATACCAAAAAAAAAAAAATCATTCCAACTAGCAAAACAAATTTCATCCACCATAACTTGCGTCTGTTTTCAGCTCAGGAGTCAGGAATGTCCGGAAGGGATTCTTGTTCGACGGGTTGGTATGAATATATATGGTTAAGATTAGTATGGTTGAGGAGTATAGTTACTATATTATACTTTAACTAATATGATAATTAGATGTCTGTCGATATATTTTGACCAATTTCAACAATAAATTTTAGTGTTCTATTAAATTGAAGTTTGGATTGGGATTTATAGAATCGGGGCCTATCGTTTATTCATTAGAGGTTAAAATATAGTATCATACCCCAAACTCGTTTAATTCATGAGCTAAATAGACAAATCTCATTACAAGTATCTGGAATATAGTAATACTACAGTAAATCAAAGTTACTCTTATCTTAAATTTATTGTATGTTTTGTGAGTTTCATTATTTAGACTATAAAGTAACTGGAGTTTGAAATATAATATTATATCCTAATATTTAATGGACGAATCTCAATATCTAATTTTCTAAACACGTCAATTTAGTTACAAATTAATAACCAATTATTATAATTCATTGAATCATATGAAAATGCATCTAATAAAGTATGAAAGCAAATGTATATGATGCACTAGCTAAGCTTGGGCATGTATGAAATAAATTTGTTATGATATTTCCGCGTAAAGGATGAAAGATACTTTCACCAAAAAAAAAAAAATGTAAGATACCACCAATATAACAGCTGTATTGTTCGATGGAACTCACTAAACAGAACTATTTGTTATGATATATTTTCAGTCTTCATGTCTCCCACTCCTATGCTCACCCTACAAATAAAATAAACTACTCATCTGCACCATTTAGCTATATATGAATTGTTTCCTTAACCACTTCAAATAATCTTTCTGACTTACCCGGGGAGTATGGGCATTCATGGCCATGGGTATCCATGGTTTCCACTTTCCACATCGTTGTATTATCGAATTTTTTTCTACAACTATATTGCTATATAGACTAACACCATTAATGATTATCTAGTTTTATAACTATATGGCAATAAACACAAATATATAACATCTATAAATTGTTTATATTATTAGGGGCGGTGGACGTCAGTTTGGTGGACCCTCATACAGTGACCTCGGGATTTGCGATTCGCGTCTGTTTGGCGGATCAAAGGGAGTTCCGCATCTGGGCTAACATCTGGTTTGGCAGATCAAAGAGAGTTTTGCATTTGGTAAAATTCCTTGTAACGAGAAGCCCATCGATACAAGGTGTTTGGCGGATCAAGATAATCGCTTAGGAGAGGACACAAAGTTCGTGGTCCTTGGCTTGAGGGGAGGATTGTTATGGGACAATCCAAGTACCACATCGGTGATACAAGGGAAGAAACCCCTGTATATTAGTGTCTACCAAGCTCATTAGTACGAGGCCTTTTGGGGAGAACACCCAAGAGTAAATCCGTGTGGGCTTGGCTCAAAACGGTCAATTTCGTACTAATGGAGCGACCCCGGTTTAACAAGTGATATCAGAGCCTGGTTCGCTTTGGGGCAGTGGACCTCATTTTGGTGGACAATTTTTTTAACTAATTGAGCAGCCCGGTTATGACAAGTGGTATCAGAGCCTGGTTCGGTTCGGGGCGGTGGACGTTAGTTTGGTGGACCCTCATTCGGTGGACCTCGGGATTAGAGATCTGCGTTTGAGCAGCCCAGTTATGACAAGTGGTATCAGAGCCTGGTTCGCTTCGGGGCGGTGGACGTTAGTTTGGTGGACCCTCATTCGGTGACCTCGGGATTTGCGATCCGCGTCTGTTTGACGGATCAAAGAGAGTTCCGCGTATGGGCTAACATCTGGTTTGACAGATCAAAGAGAGTTCTACATTTGGTAAAATTCCTTGTAACGAGAAGCCCATCGATACAAAGTGTTTGGCGGATCAAGATAATCGCTTAGGAGAGGACACAAAGTTCGTGGTCCTTGGCTTGAAGGGAGGATTGTTATGGGACAATCCAAGTACCACATCAGTAATACAAGGGAAGGAACCCTTGTATATTTGTGTCCACCAAGCTCATTAGTTCGAGGCCTTTTGGGGAGGACACCCAAAAGTACCGTACGAGTTTGACCCAAAAAGGACAATATCATATTAATTGAGCAGCCCGGTTATAACATTCTGCTTCATCAAGTTTGATTTGGTGTTAGGCCAGCTAGATGATTGGATTAATGTTGTCATGCAAGTTTAAACTCGTTAATTGAAAAGTAATTACGTTCGTACTTTTGATTAGTTAAACATTTTCTTGTCTCGATTCCCGAATGCATATAACTAAGAACAAAAATATATATATATTAGGAAACGTCCTAATTAAGCAAACATATAAGCAACTTCAGTATACAGAAACCCAAGAATGAATTAATACACAGTAATTTAAGGAAAAAATCCAAAAGTACCACTGTTTAAAATTTTTTTTGCAAAAATACCACCCAACCCCAAAAAATTCCAAAAATACCACCCTTTTTCACAAACCGCCACCCCACCCAGCGGTTTGGTCGAAAACCGCTTGTCGGGGGCGCGGTTTTGGACCAAACCGCGGGGCTAGGGGGCGGTTATAAAAAAAAAAAAATTGGACCAAAACCGCTGGGTGGGGCGGCGGTTTGGCCCAAAACCGCCACCCCAACCAGCGGTTTGGTCCAAAAGTTCGGTCGAAACTTCAAACGAACGTAACTTTGCACTCGGGTATCCGATCGTAGCGATTTTTTTTTTCATTTCGCATAACTTTTCAAGATCTACAACTTTTACTAGGATGAAATTTTCAAAACAGGAACTATTTGTGGATATACGGGACCTTGAGAATAACTTTACCTTTACTTTTCAGAAATCCATGTACATTTTGAAATTATGATTATATTAAAAGTTGTAGATCTTGAAAATTTATGCGGAATCAAAAAAAAGTTCATAACATTCGGAGTTTGGAGCACAAAGTTATGGCCGCCCAAAGTTTGACGAAAGGCGAGACCCGGCGGTTTGCGGCTTGCAAGATCTCAAAAAGTTTGCGGCCTCCATTTTTTGAATCCGAATAACTTTTTGAGATCTTGCAAAGTCTCAAACAGTCGGGTTCCGTCTTCGTCTCGAAAAAACGTCATTTGCCACCCCGAACCTTTTTTTTTATTTCGTCAAACTTTGGGCGGCCATAACTTTGTGCTCCAAAATCCGAATGTCATGAATTTTTTTTTTATTCTGAATAACTTTTCAAGATCTACAACTTTTAATATAATCATAATTTCAAAATGTACATGGATTTCTGAAAAGTAAAGGTAAAGTTATTCTCAAGGTCCCGTATATCAACAAATAGTTCCTATTTTGAAAATTTCATCCTAGTAAAAGTTTTAGATCTTGAAAAGTTCTGCGAAATGAAAAAACAAATCGCTACGATCGGATACCCGAGTGCAAAGTTACGTTCGTTTGAAGTTTCGACCGAACTTTTGGACCAAACCGCTGGTCGGGGTGGCGGTTTTGGGCCAAACCGCCGCCCCACCCAGCGGTTTTGGTCCAAATTTTTTTTTTTTTTTATAACCGCCCCCTAGGCCCGCGGTTTGGTCCAAAACCGCGCCCCCGACAAGCGGTTTTCGACCAAACCGCTGGGTGGGGTGGCGGTTTTTGAAAAAGGGTGGTATTTTTGGAATTTTTTGGGATTGGGTGGTATTTTTGGAATTTTTTTTTTAAACAGTGGTACTTTTGGATTTTTTCCGTAATTTAAAGAACCATAGAGACAAATATTGAATTGACAAGGCAAGTTCAACGCATTGTTGAATATTGAGAGAGAGAGAGAGAACATTTTTGCATGAAAGGGAAAGTACAGTTTGCATGTAACCCTTCTAGAAGCTCCTTCTCTATCGAGCTTTTTTTCTAGAAGCACTTATGCCTCTGGTCATAAACGATCAGCAGTACATTTTTGTGAATCATGCGGTTGGTTGGTACCTCTAATCGAGAGCTACCATGTTTGAATGTTTATGACCATTAATATTAACAATTGATTTAATTATATTGTATTATGGATATATCTGAACTTTAAATTCAACCATTGATTTGCAATGTCATTAGATCCATTCTTGAATATCTCTCAACAACTTAAATTATTGTAATAGAATGATTTGTAGATAATCTGACAATCAGGTAACAACAAAACAGTTGGCACCCCTTATTTTCGTTAAACTATTGGGATTTTTATTTTCATTTTGGCAATAAAGAAATAATAAGTGGGTTGATGAGAATTTAATTAACTGATAGATAAAATCATATGAAAAAAATAGATTACACGTTAATATAAGTAAATTTGTATGAATAATAAGTTTGTACTGCTTAGTAACCTGCCCGTGCAGGTTAACTAAGCCAACAAGTTTCCTCTACAACTAGGAAGCCTCCTCCCAAGATAGGATCCAAATCGGTTAGGTAGATGGATTGCCGGAAAATAATTAAAGTGCAATCCCATGCTTACTTTAATTAGGCCCTCCACACTGTCTACTTAACAATGGATTGCCTCATAATTAGTGGTAATTAAGTATCAAAACAGGAAAACTATTAGCAGCTAGAGTTTGATATTTACGCATAATTTGTTCTGCCAATTTGCTTGGTTCGGATTAGTAATAATATATGGTATGAGAATATATAGAATAGCGTGATTAAGGAGACAAATTGAATCATTCGGTAGGAAAAATTGATGAGAATTTTATTTTTCTTCATTTTTGTGTGTGTATAGAGTGGCTGTTATGCATTGATATTTCAGCATCTAATATATCTCCCGGCGGTTGAGATGTAGCACTAGTACAATCTTCATCAACAACTGATATATTTGATTGTCATTCAAAGTACTTAGCCCATGTTCGGTTACATCCATAGATCATTCTAAAATGAGTTAATTCCCTTCCCGAGTTAACATACTCCGGAGGAATATATAGGCATGAAAATTAGTTGATTTATTGGTTAATTTGACCTAATTGTCATTATCCATATAGCTATCGTGTCGGGTCCAAATTGGCCATACGTGCTTTTGATGGTTTTGAGTTTGAGTTGGGGTATGATTGTGTCCAATTTGGGTCAACTGGTTAGACCCAAATGGATCTATTTGGATCCTGATAATTGTACACACAAAAAAACAATATCAATCATCTCATTGACTCACTTCAACCAAATTACACTTTTAATGTAGATGTTCTCACCTTTCTCTTCGTTTCATAACAAAATATTTGCAAACATTGTATTAGAATTAAGTATCCATTTTCTTTTGGCTCAATCAATACTATAAGTCAAATATTTTCAAACATTGTATTAGAATTAAGTATCCATTTTCTTTTGGCTCAATCAATACTATAAGTCAAATTTAGGCGGAAACTAAAATGTTGGATATGAATTTACCTCAAAATGTAAACTACACAACTAATTTCCATCATAATAAGTTGGGTTTGAGTAATGTCCAAATATAGTGGATTTTTTTTGTCATCCTTAGTGCGAAAGACAACAATTCCCATCTACATTATTACACAATTTGAATTTTTTTTCAAACAATTCTACATTTCCTTATAGCCAAACACCTAAATTGAGACTGCCATATATATGGCACCGAATTTTTTTACAATACCTATTTATGACAGATTAACATATTATTAGACATGAAATTTGTTTAGAATTTAAATAAGATATCCGTATGTATTTTACACCTAACTTTGTCGCAGTGGTATTAATGATATGAAAGTTACGAACAAGGGATTGGTCTAGTGGTAATACTACTAGCCTTGAACCTGGAGGTCTCAGGTTCGAATCCCTTCAGTAGTACCTAATTACAAAAAATAACCTATATCACCCTTATCTAAAAAAATGATATGAAAGTTTCTACATGTAACATGAACAGGTACATGCATGATGTGGTTGTGAGGGTTCTATAATCATCAACAACAGTATTGTTAATATTTTAACTTGATTTGTTGAGTGTGGATGCCTAACATGTAACTAACCGAGTTGATTTATCAGTAGAATTACTAGGCCTTTTTATATTACTCACATGTGGCATGATTTGAGCCATTAAATATTATTAGGTTGAATTAGACTTCCCCCCTCCTCAACATTATATTAAAGTAACCAACCTGCTAATCTGTTCTTATTATCATTTTTGTTTAGACATCTTCCGGATTCGTGACAAACTAACAGCTACCAATGTTTCTATTCTCTCTGATTTCTTGATAGTGCAAGATCTTATCTTGAATATGGTTCTCCTCATTTTTGTGGTGCACAGATTATTAATTAATATATTAAACTCAAGAATGTTTGAAACGCGGTTCATCTATGTCTTGCATGTACTGGGTTATGCGCATGACAGTTCTCTGTCGATTTCCATTTTTCGTTCTCTCACACACTGACTCCACTTCTCTTGCACCAATTCCTAGTGAGTTTTAGCTGAAATTTAACCTGAGTCAAGCCACTTGTGTAGTAACTGTATCTAAATCTTACGAATACATATGTATTTACAGGGTCTGTCTCTCTCTCTCTCTCTTCTAATCACCATTAATTTTTCTCAACCCTAAAGTCTTACTTGTGGTTGAGACCTTGCAAACTTCTTTGATTTGCACTCCCTCGTTATGTTAAGTTACTTAAACCTTGTGCAAACTATTTTCAACTTATTGTCGTGGAAATATAATTGTATATAAAATATGTGGTATTTGGATCACGCTATGGAGGGCATCCTCTTTTGATCACCTTCAGTACTCCTTGGGCGATGTTTAACGGCGGAACCAGAAATGTAAATGAGGAGACTAAAACTATAATTTCATAAAATTTAAATTGGCGAGACAACTAAAACCGTGCCAACTACTATATTTCTTAAATTTATTACTAAATTTACATTGTAACGTTATGGAGCTATAGCCTCCATTGGCTTAAGGTGCTCCGCCACTGGCCATGTTGAAATCAAGAAGGTTGATTTATCAGTCCAAACGAAAGCGAACCTTATAGGCAGTATTGGGCTTTTCTTCCTCCGGACAACGCAAGCGTGGACTAAGCAAGCAGGAACCATTAGTTCTCGTTCGTGGATACACAATTGGGCCCTACCCCGACGTTGGGCTTCGCAGCAAATCGCAAAAGTTCACCAGCTTTAAACTCACTAACTAATATCAAAACCTTCGGGGTCTGAATTTCGGCGCCGGAGATTGACGTTTAACGGCGGATGCGCTGTCAATGTTGCTGAACGTCAATTGGTGGCTCGAACCCTAACTGGCTAGCTTAGCTTCCTCTACCTTCGCCCCCCAATTCATAGCGAAGAACACCATAAACCCCAAAGAAACAGTCAAATTTCATGGATTCATGCCAGCGGGAAAGGACGCACTGATCTTCCTGCCAATTCGTAGGCGATATTTGTGTCCGTTTCTACTTCAGGTACGCCTCTTCTGCCCTCCGTTAATTCTGTGTCGATTGGACAGCGGCCTGATGTTTGAAACGCAATACATGGTGAAGGATGTTTAGCCGCCATGAGAGGTTGCGATGCTCTCCTATTCTTGTTTGCTTTATTGATAGTTCCGAGCTAATTTGCAGACGACGTGTTTATGGAACAGAGGAATTGATTTCGACTTCCGTTAGCAAAGGAAAGTTGGAGTCCAGAGCAGCACTGGTGACTTCCCAATTCCAATAACTTGCGCCATTAGTTTATCTTGCTGCACCTCACCATCAGGTTTCTTACTTTCCCCTCTTGTTTACTAGTCTGCCTGTATTGCTTGATGATGGCTCTGAAGTAGTTGTAAGCTATATGTGTTATCACTGAGGGGCTCTCTGGAAGTGGAGAGAGCGGAAGCTTCATTTGGCTTGTAGATTAGTTGAACGAGCTAAGAAGTAAAAACTAGTGGTTTCTTAGTTTGGGTTACAATTTGCCCTCGTGCGTGGATACAATCCCACAAGGCCAACTATATGAAGCTGGATTTAGGAGCTTTTGGATTCTAAAGTGAATATGATATTTAATAGGTATCAGATAATGGCGACTTTCCCATTTGACTACCTGAGCATTTCAATGATATCTCTTGACACATTTGCTCAAACACACTGCTCCTGACTCCTGAGTTTCTCTTGTTCTCGGGCCCAGAATAAAAAAAAGATGAGGGTCTAATTGGTCTCAACTTGTTCTTTTCATTAGTTAGAATAGGTTGTCAAGATATGAGAATAATACTAGCAACCCTGACTATATGTTGAATCTGAAGGGTTGAGGCCTTCTTTTTTCCTACGCTGTTGGGATATTATTTTCGTCTGCTAAAACATCTTCAAATTGTTGTTAATGATAGATTTTCATAAGCTGCTGCATCAGCAAGCATGTTACTTTCTAGGCTTTCTCGAGTTGGACTTGGAGCGTCTAGAATTCTCTCACGAGGTATGGGCTATAATATTTTTCCTGTTAGCTTTGCGGGTAACCAGGAAAAGTCCTCTGCCTCACGTAATTTAGTGTACGTTTCTGTCATGATCAATTGTTTACTGGGAACCTCTTTTTTCTTTGTCTTTTCTCTTATTCACAGGAAGATGCATACCCTCATGTAGAACAGTATCAGTACCAAGGTCTTACGGTCATTACTTGCAACCTCAGGTGAGTATATTTACTGTTGTTCCTGCTGTTCCGGTTTTCATTTAGATTGGTTCTGGACGCGTTGTGACATTTACAGCATCAATTGTTAAGCTTGAGTCAGGACCTAGTAGTATAGTATATAGGTGTTCAATTCTTTTTTTTTTTTTTTTGTCAATTAGCAAGGGAAATAATCTTTTGTTGCCTTACTGTGTCATCACACTCTTTACATGGGAATCTATCAATCTATCGTGGAAAGCTTTGTGAATATCATTTCTGGTGCCGAAGGGAACTATCATTGTTGTGTTATTCACGATTCTATGGGCGAAGGTTTTGGGAGTCTTCTTCGTGGCAGTGTGTTATCAGGGAGATGTGTTCAATTATTCTAACTTGAAAGTTTTTGGCTGTTTACTTTTGTGGAGCAGCTTCAATCACATCAAGATAAGCTGTACGAGGCTTTCGTTTTTCAGAGGCATCATTACTTTTCCACCGAAGGTTCTAGTGGCGAATCTTCAAATGGAAGTCAAGAGAAGCAATCGTAAGCAATTGTGTGTGCAATAGGGTTAATACTTAATACTAATATACCCTGGGATGTGACGTAATCACAAGTTATTAACTATTCATGGCTCGGCATTTGTGACAATTGGCTACACATCTTCTCACTTATGAATCAAGATGGGTTAGGGACTTTTTGTGTGCTTTGTATTAAGTGTTCTGAAAATCAGTTCTTATACAATTACAACATTGGTTAATTTGAGACTTCCCTAAGTGGGTTATCCTAAGTTTGGGATATGAAACTTTCAACCATGCAGATGTAAATTATGTAGCACTCTAAAATTGTATTTATTGATGCTACTGCTTCTGCTATTTCCCCTGACAGCATGTTAACATCTGCAGGATATCTGTAACTTTTGTAGACAAGGATGGGGAGGAAAAACAGATTAAGGTCCCAGTGGGAATGTCCATGTTGGAAGCTGCTCATGAGCACGATATAGAACTAGAAGGCAAGGATGATTCTACTGATTTTCTCCTCATTCTTTGTGCTCATGGGTATTTATTTTTCCACAACATGAGGAACTAACTTTTATTCTCGTGTTATCTTCAGGAGCATGTGAAGGCTCGCTTGCCTGTTCGACGTGTCACGTTATTGTGATGGTTTGTTTGTTTGAGCCTTCAACTATTACTTGGTAATTATTGAGTAGCGAACTTCCTAACTGTTTGTTGCATCGTTGTCAGGATGTTGACTATTACAACAAATTGGAGGACCCAACAGACGAGGAGAACGATATGCTGGATTTGGCCTTTGGGCTAACAGAGACGTGAGTACCCTTGCAGATAGTACAGGGCAACTTGGATTCATCTGGATAGGAAACAATTTTTACTAATTTCATCTTGGATTCTGTTTTTATATTTGTAGTTCTCGACTGGGTTGTCAAGTGATTGCAAGTCCTGAGCTTGATGGGGTGCGACTAGCTATTCCTGCTGCCACTCGGAATTTTGCTGTTGATGGCTTTGTACCAAAACCACACTAGTAACCCCTTGGATTGGAGAATAGCTAGAGTGGAAACATCATTCCATTTATGTCCCAGTTTTGTAGCTAGCATTGTAGAGCGTTTAGGCTTGATGAGAAACATACCTTCTCCAATGTTATTAGTGTTGCCGTTTACATTGCTGCATGTTTCTGATGCAATAATCTGGGTCATGAATGTAGTTAATCTCGTTATCCTGAAATAGAAAGATTTGAAACAGAAATAAACTGTTTCCCTGTTGTAAACTTGTATGCTCTGTATTGGGGCTGACTGCAGGTTTTGTTTTCTCAATAAAAAAAGAAAGCAATGAAAAAACTATTGTTTAGCTAGTTTATCATGATTATGCACAAACTCTCATTAATACGCATAGTATATTACTCTATCCCTTCCATTAAAGCATTCTAAACCAAGTTTTCACCGTGAGGAATTACAATTAGTTAATACAAGCTTTCGATTCATGCCATTAGGTAATAAAAAATAAGGATAGCATATCGACTATTTAGGGCCTCTATGAATCATAGCAATGGTATATAGAATTGTTGATCTAAGTACCAAGCATCGATCAAACACATACATACATAATCGCGTCATCAACTAAACATAATTGCATAAAATAAAGAATAATTTCATGCACAACCTATAATGATGTTATTATAAGCAATATCATAGTAGCAGATGATAGATGATATAAGAATAAAATGATTAAGACATAAAAAAGTGTAATGTCTATATTTTATCCAAACCTTTTTCGGATTCTTTTTTATCAACCAAACCTATTAAAATACTAGGAATTAGTCAAATGTTAACTTTCAGTTAGCAATTTTGTTAGTAATATTGACTTTACAACATGATACTGACTTGGAAGAGACACATGAAGGTCAACATTCCAAAATTTTAGTATTTTAACTACGAAAAGAGTACAAAAATATTAACGATAACGTAAAAATGGCTAATATTTTGATTCATTACGAAAGATTTGACTAATAAATAGCATTTTAATAGGTTTGGATAATATATAAGAATCTGAAAAATGTTTGGATAAAAAATAGACATTACCCTAAAAAAAACTAAATCATAGAATGGTATAAGCATCACATGACTAAAGCATCTAATGATATAAGCATTCAATAATAAAAGCATCTAACGACCAAAGCATCTCATTAAATTATAGAAAGTAGATGCATGTAGCATCAAAGAATTCACATCTCTGAACAATACAAACTTAGGCCAGACATAGAGGAGATTGATGATACCACTATTGATGATGAAAGCATCTACATGAAGCTCTGACAGAAATTCACCTCCTCTTATGGATGCTACTCGAGCCCACTAGGGTAGGGTGTGTGTACGAAGTATGTAAAAGCTCTAGCCTAAACCTCTATGTATATTACAAGGAAGAGAGGGGGGGTTCTACGGTTTTCCTCCTAAAACCCGAGCAAAAGTGTTATGATACTAGTAAGATGCGTGACTTGGGGGCGAAGTAAAGCATATTCCTGAAGCTCCCATAGGCGTGGGCCACCGGCTATAGGGGTCTCTGTCATCCAATTGGGCTGCTTCTTTTTTGTAGAAATTCACCTTAAGTTTATTGGGTTGCTCCTCAAATTTTAACTCAATCTAACTTCGCTTGATCCGTAAGCTTTCACAAAAGTGGTTCTTTGGGTCATCAAATGAACATCCAATGCCCAAATCCATCTTTGTTTAAGCCCATGAACTTGTATTCTCGTCCTCCTTCTGATCCATTGATTATCCATATTCCTCTTGATTGAGTTATATCATTGAAATGCACAAAATAATACCAAAAGGTGTGAAATGGTACAAAAACAAACTCAATGTATATCTTAGGCATGTAAATCAAAGAGTTATGGTATTTATATAAAATATAGTAAAATATAATAAAGATGCATCGATAGAAGGATAAATTTTCAGTGCGGTTCTCGATGTTCATCTAGGTCGAGGTGATGCAGAAATTTTCAGTGCTCTCCCGGCAGGTGCTGCGAATATGGTCCGACCAGCTCCTGTTGAGAGTCGTCTCCCAAATCCCTATTTGATTGTTGTTGGAGGAGAAAAAACCACAAAGGACATTAGTGAACAGCTGGCGTTTGCGTCATTTCAACAAACTCCTCAACGTTGTCCCTTATCCGACATCAAATGTCACCACTACTAAGGGGTCGTTTGCTTCTTGGATTTGAAAAATGAAGGTTTTGACCAACAAAAACCTTGGGATTTATGTTGGATTTATTGGATTATGGATTTGAAGAGTCTAATGTTTGCATGATAGATTTGATGATGGATTTGTTAAATAAATAACTAACCATCAAGGATTTGCAAATCCCAAATCAATATGTGGGATTTACAAGTCCGTGGGATCCACGGATTTGGTTCCAAAATAAAGACCAAATCCGTGGACCCCACGGATTTAGCACCCTTCAACAAACAATGGACTTATGTTAAATCCATCAACTTTGGGATTTGGTACCCAAATCCATGACCCAAATCCAACAAGCAAACGACCCCTAAGAGAAGGGCCACACGAAAAAACAGCATCGTAACGGAAAATTTTGTGTTTATTGTAAGAAACGTGGTCATATAATTACGGATAGCAGACTTTTTCAAGAATGAATGAATGAAAACAACATATATGTCAGCAATAATATGGAAATGGCAGAGGGCCAGCAGCTATAGAGGCAACAACAACGGCTCGCAGTATGAGAGTGGCTATGGAGGCAACAACAACGGCTCGCAGCTCTAAGTCTTACTCACTGTGTATGCCACGAATGTAGCTGCTGGTTTGGATGGTGTGGTGGTTATGCCTGCTGCAGAACTTGTTAACAAGGCTATAACCTTTGTGCTTGTCAGTCTTCAAATCTCGGATAAGTTTCCCAAATGGGTTATCAATTCAACATGCTTCAATCATATGGCCAGTGATGTTTCTCCAATTAAGAATATGCATCATATGGATAATTTGTCTTTACAAGAGGCAAATGGCGAGAGGCTTAAGATTTATGGTATAGGTTCAATAAAGGATTCTCATATTGATTTACCGGCAACATTCCACGTTCCTAAATTGGTTCCTAGTTTAGTTTTTGTTGGCCAACTTACTAAATAAGATTGTCGGGTTATTTATGCACCTTTTGGATGTGTTGTGTAGGACCTGAAGAAGGGCAGGGAGCTCGGGAGATGTTGGAAGCAAGGTCGCATTTTTCTGTTGGACGAGTTCATCACGTCGTCTTCATCTCGATTGTCATTGCTGTTATCAAATTCTTGCTTGATATCTAGGGTATCTTTCTTTCTTGCTTATTCGAGTCTTAGTGATTAGAAAGCCGTTTGGGTCATCCCAATTGCAGTAGTTTTGTAACCATACTTTGTCAATAGTTATTTGGTCAAAACTCTAAATTTGATCATTTATCATATTTTTCTTGTCAAAACTGTGTGGCAGTCAAAACTAATCGTATTTACCTTCCCTCGAGTACTAATAAAATCACTGAGCCTTTCACTTAATCCAAACATATCTTTGGAGCCCAGTCTAGTCACATCTCGTCATGGTTACTAAGTATTTTGCGTTGTTTGTTAATCATGCTACTAGATATACATGAGTTTATTTTATGCGCCTTAAATCTATTCTCTTGTCCATTGCCACTGAATTTTTTCAAATGAGTAAGACTCAATTTGATAAAACCATCCTTGTTGTCCATTCTGATCCAGGTTGAGAGTTTAGTTCACTTCCTCTTCTAACCTCTATAAATCCCTTGGCTTCCTCATTCAGAAGTCATGTCCCAGTATTTCTTAATAAAATGGCTTACTATAACGTAAAAATCACCACGTGTTAGGGGTAACTCGAGCTCTCCTTTTGGCGTCTCATGTTCCCTCTATCTTTTGGACTGAGAGTGTTTGTAGGGTTGTTCAATTGATTAATTACTAAATTACGCACATGTGGGGTCAGTCTAGTCCTTTTTAAAACTTTTGTCAAGCATCCTCATTATTCTTGCCTTCGATTCTTTTGATGTCTTTGTTTTGTCTTACTCTCTCGTTCTGGACGTACCAAAGTTTTTTCTAAAACCTTTCGTTGTGATGTTTTTGTATATAGCGAAATTTATAAGGGCTATCTTTGCTTCAGTCATGTTCTTAAGCGTATTCGTATAACATATAATTTTGTCTTCATGGAGAATCTTATGTCTTATTCTTGTTTTCTTCGAATGTTCCCCTCTTTGATATGTTTTTGGGTCTTCCTTCCTTTTGTGATAATGATGATGATGCTCTCTTGATCTCAACCAGCTGCCCTGTAACTCCCCACTTGTCTCTCCTTCTACACCACCACCTAATGTTCCTATGAGTTGCTCCCTGCGATCCATGTTGAATGTGCCACTTAAGTTGCATCAAGATTGTGTTACCTACAGGGTTGATCCCATTCCCATACCACTGGGTACTCCCAAGCCAAGGGGAATCCGAATTAGGAATGTGCGATGACTGAAGAGATCGATGTTCTTCACACCAACAGAATTGACTTGTCGTTCCTAGTCCTTCTCTAGTTGTGGATTCTCCTTGGGTGTTTATCATTAAGTTTAAGCATGATGGTTCCCTAGATCGCTATAAGGCTTTTGTAGTTTCTCAAGGATTCAGTCAAGAATATGGTGTTGATTTTGAAGAGACATTTGCTCATGTTGCTAAAGTGGTCTTTGATAGTTCTCTTCTTGTTGTAGCTTTACTTCGTTAGTGACCCCTTTATCGGCTTGATGTGAAGAACAACTTTTTACATGGTGATTTCAAGGAAACTGTCTATATGGAGCTTCCGCGTGGGTCTGTTTGCTTAAGCGTTCTCTTTATAATCACAAGCAGGCACCGCGTGCTTGGTTAGACAAGATCCAGTCTATTATCTTGGGCTGGGCTTTTCGACAGAGTCTTAATTATCGGCCTCCATGCCTGCCCACCGCTCCTCGTGCGATCATATGGAGCTTTCTCTCTGTGTTGATGACATGATTGTTAGTGGTGATGATGCGGCCTGGATTAAGGCTCTTGCTCAAGGGTTGCACGTGTCCTTTACATTGAAAGAACTTGGTGCGCTCTCTTACTTGTTGAGTCTTAAAGTACAACGATCTAAGGCTAGTATTCTTTCGGTCAGAATAAATACATTGATGACCTCCTTGATTCGCTTCATTTTGATGATTTACTCCGATGAAACTCAATCCCAATGGTGACAAGTGATCTAACTAGTTTCATTAGTAATCCACCAAATAAATAGAGGGAGAAGACAGAAGAGTAAAAATTACATTATTATTATTATTGTTATTATCATCATTATCTTCTTTCATTCTCTTTTTATCTATTTTACCCCCCGCACAAAAGTAAAAAGGAAAAAAGAAAAATCCTTTCTTCTTTCTAACCCTAGTTTATTCTCCCAAAGAAAGCCCGCCGCTCTGGTTGTTTCCGACCCTCCTCGCCCTTTTCACCACCACCACCGCCACCTTCAAAACCCAATGGATCTCCTCTTATGCGTTCAAAGCTATTAGCCGATTCCACCGCCTCCATCCCCTGCTCGGCAGCTGGTACGTTACGCCTTGATACTCAACCCAACAACTTTTAGCCGTTTTCGTGATCTGGGACACAATCTTTTCTCTCTATATGCCTCTAATGAGAATCGGGTATTCGTCCCTTTTCCTTTTCTTGCTCTCTTGATTTTCACTTTGGACGTGGGATTTGATTCATTTTGTGAACACCAACTTCTTGTAGAATTTTTTTTTCTTTGTCAATAATGGTGCAATTGTAACCCTATCAGATTCAATTTCATAAAGCTGATAATCTAAAATAGTTAGGCTACTCTATTTTCAAATTTATTACGAATTTTACATGTAATTTTATATGGATTTCAAAATTGAGCAGGTTATGATCTCTCTTGGTTTCAACCCAACTTTGCCACTTCCAATCCTATTCTTTGTGATAGCTTATTGTTTGGCTTAATCTCTCATGCACGTACGATTGATTGATTGATTGCTACGGTACGTAGATGGCAGTGGAGGAATAAACCCGACGAGATCTAGAAGCTCAAGAAGAATGCAAACACTCTGAAAATCAATATCTTGGAGCTCCTTTCGAACGTGAATTATTTTCCAGAGATGGACGGCCACATCAATGGCAACAACACCAAGCTGACCGGGATCCGCCAGATCGTTAGGCTGAGGGAGATCCTCCACAAGTGGCAGACCGTCACGCTCGGCGGCTCGTCGAGATCCAACGGCCGCGGGATCGCCCCGGCCATCAACAACAGAGTGGCGAGCATCATCAGGAACGGTGACTCCGACGAGGAAGGTGGAGGAGGTTGCCCTAGCCCTCATGATGAGCCGCCGTCGGACGTCCCCAAGGGTTACCTGGCGGTGTACGTCGGGCCGGAGCTTCGGAGGTTTATCATTCCGACGGCCTACCTGAGCCACTCGTTGTTCAAGGTGCTGCTGGAGAAGGCCGAGGAGGAGTTCGGGTTCGACCATAGCGGCGGGCTCACCATTCCTTGCGAGATCGAGACCTTTAAGTTTCTATTGAAATGTATAGAGCACCATCCCAAGGACCGCAATAGTACTGCTGGCGACGACGTTGAAGATCAATCCGCAAGTAAGTAATTCTTCGTTTGTCCTGAGCACTTCTACTATGCTATATAGTATTGGTGCATTGTAAAATTTCTCGTTTAGAGCACTTCTACTATGCTATATAGTAATTGGTGTTTTAATGTACAACTTAAAGTTGTACCATAACATTAAATGTATAAGTTTAGGTTGTACCACCATAAAGCAATTTGTACCATTATGTTATGATACAACTTTACAACTTGAAGTTGTACCATCACATAAAGGTACAAGTTCAAGTTGTATCATAAAAGAATTTGTACAAAAAGTGTAGGTACAATATGAAGTTGTACCATAACGTAAATGTACAATTTTAAGTTGTATCATAAAGACAAAAACCCTATAGCACCAATACTATATAGCATTGTAAAATTGCTCGTTTATCGTTATATTTTAAATAGCTCAAATTTTTTTATTATTATAATCTTCAAAGTGCGTTGTGTCTAAAAGTGTTTCGGAGGTTCTACATCTGCTTATTGAAAAAATGAAAATGGTTTCATTTTTGGCAGGTGAAGACGCATTAACCATTAAGGAAGGATAGAGCTAAAATTTGATTTCTGGTGTAAAAATCAAATGTGGGTCTCGTTCTATGCCAGATATATCTTTCTCTGTTCCAATTTGATGACTATTTTTCTTCGGCTTTTGTTTTTGCTTCTATTCCCCCCCCCCCCCCCCCCCCCCCCCCCCCCCCCGATTCAAACAGTAGGAAGGAGGTTTTTGATTAGATAGAGTGGCTGCCAGTGGGCAGGGATGTGTTTTTCGGGCTCGGCGGGTTTCGTTCTTGTTCGTGTGATGTAATGTAACCCAACAAGTGTTAATTTGTTGAAATACAATGGGGGACATGCTAAATATTGTTGGTTAATTAGCTAAAGTCGATCTCGTAATCCTTTCCAATCATGAAACTACGTATTTGTCTAATTTTGTATTGATGCGAATCCGATAAGCACCAACATACTAATTAATTCCCCGGATGATGTTATTAGACCGTGCCGCCGGCGAACGTTGAAATTTCCTAAGGTGGCCGCACAATCAATTCACATCTACACAACGAGCTAGAGAGCGGAGCTAGCGTCGAACAGGGCGAATCACACACCACACACTAAAGAAAGAGGTTTTGAAAGTTCTTGGACCTGTTTTCCCGGCGAAGTTGGTGTAGTAAACAGGATCCAAACACACCATCAAGCTAGCTAGCTCACTCCACGTACAAATATTGTGGTAATACTACATACATATATATTATACTGTCATCGGTTATAAGGAGAAGTCGAGAAGGTGGTGGTCAGTCGAGGTGGAGGAAGAAGCCACTTGTGGCCATTGATAAACGTCATGCTCAAGAACGGGCTCGCTTCCTCGTCGGTCAGCAACTTGGCGTAGCTAACCCGCCCCGACGGAACCGCACCTGGTCCCTTGCACTTGTACTCCCCATAGTACACGCTCCTGCTTGCAAAACCAAATCACACTTATCAATCAACCAATAGTCTTAATAACTCGAATTGTTTGTGAGACGTTCGATTATGAATCTTATAGCATTTCTGAACACACCCTCCTCAAACGAAAGTCGACTCATATGGCCTTGAAATTTGTACAAGTCCGGATATCATGTGCTTAATATAATAGATGGGGGATATTGAGAGATTTGAACAAAAGATCTCTCGGTAGGAATGACAATAGGGCTGTGCAGGTCTGGGACCGATATCTCGATACTCATACCCGCCCCGTGACCGAGTGGGTAATTTTTCATGGGATGCGGGTCAGGGGAGGTCGATCCATAAGGATATGTGTAATGTAAAAGGAAAACATTAGAAATGTTCATTTTTTTTTCATTAAAAATCCAAGAAACAAAATGTAGCTAAATTATCTGAGAAATTGAGGTTCTCATCTATTTACAAATTCATTATAATTAAAAACATGAGGTAATTAAAGTAAAATACTAAATGATTGAGTAATATATTGAATTTAGGCAAAAACAGGTAAAAAAATTGGGGTAGGTCACGTCAAGAAAAGTATCTATATTCGTCCAACCCCGCCTACGTGCGGGTATTACCTGCCCAAAAAGAGTCGAGTAAAACGCATCAAGTCGAATATGAAGAACCATTAATTCTACTAACTTGAGTTGTTATGAGAAATTTAATAATAAATCTTATGGACGCATCATAGTGATGGTATTATTGGGCATGTGTGTGTGTGCAATTTGTACTTACTGGTTAGGGTTGGGGGTGGAGCCGACGCTGTACCAGCCGGCGGGGTTGATGACGGCTGGCATGAAAGTGTAGGCAAAAACCACCCTCGACCTCTCCCTCCACGCCCGGCCCAGATACGTGGTGTAGTCCTTTGTGGCGCCTCTGATGGTGCAGTGGAGGAAAGAGAACCCACTGGTCTCGCCTTCTTTCTCCCTCGCCTGCGCCGTGATCACACCGGTCTCCTCCGCCACCGACTCGATGGTGACGTTGAGGTAGAGAGAAGTGCCGTTGCCGAAGATGAAGTCGACGGTGCCGCGGACGTACGAGTCCATGAACAGGTGGCGGCCCTGGGAGTCGCAGAGTGTGTCCTGGAACCCCAGGAAGTCGCAGCTGTAGAACGCGGCCTTGTCGCCGGAGATCCTCATCGCCACCGCCTGGGAGCCTTTGCTGTTGATCTCTGGCATCGGCGCCGCGTTCTGTTTACTCACACAAACGCACCGTTGTTAATTGATTAGTACCAGCGAAGAGTAATCACTAATGTATTTTTAAATTTGATGAACTTGACATAAATTCTTTTTTTTTTTTCCTTACGGAAAATAATACTCGTGATAATTAATAATCTCCCCCGTAACATCTTTTCTAATTGGAGCACTTCTACTATGCTATATAGTATTGGTGCTTTAATGTACAAATTAAAGTTGTACCATAACAATAAATGTATAAGTTTAGGTTGTACCATAAAGCAATTTGTACCAATATGTTATGGTACAACTTTACAACTTGAAGTTGTACCATCACATAAAGGTACAAGTTCAAGTTGTACCATAAAAGAAGCTGTACAAAAAGTATAGGTACAATATGAAATTGTACCATAACGTAAATATACAATTTTAAGTTGTACCATAAAGGCAAAACCCTATAACACCAATACTATATAGCATTGTAAAATTTCTCTTCTAATTGACCATATTGTGATTTCTTTAAGGATGGAAATATATATAGTTGTCTCTATAAGTAATATTGTCATCGCGGTAATGCATTTTTTTATATTGACGAAAATGACGATGTTGGTACGGAATTGTGTCTTTAAACAAGAAAGATCATCGATATTCGATAACACATTTTCCTTTCAAGTTTTCCGTTCTCTTTTTTTTTTCTCTCTCTCTCTCTCATAGCCTCATCAATCATCATGTATTGCAAAGAGGAATACTGATAGTTGTTGTCGTCGAAATTCGAAATTAGGACTTTATTAAAGAAAAATTAAAGAGGAATGAACAGAATACGCTTAAACCATTTGAAGTACGATCAAACTTTGTTGCAGATTGTGGTCCTAGTGTTTTTATTATTCCTCTTTCCCAATTAAGAATGGTATGAATTATGTTTGTTCTTGCTCGTTGCAAATTAAATAATTTTCTCTCACTAGTCAAATCTATATAGGTGCCGTCGTACAGATTATTTCCTACCGCCGTTTCTTGCCAAACTTTTCAAGAGTGTGATATGCGTACGTAAATAAAAGGAGCATATGGCTTGTTGCTCAGTAAAATCTGCCGTCCTAACGAGAACTAGTCCTAAACACCCCCATCCCCAAATTCCCCATAACTAGCGTATAGCAGCCGGCCGGCCGGCTACGCCTTCCCCTACCAACTTATTTCATTTTTTAAAAAGTATCGCTACGGGTTGCATTGTATTCCTGTAGCCGATTCAATATTTTGTTATTAATAAAACATTGTACGATTCATTAGGGCCTTTTGTAGTTAGACAATGTACGATTTGCAGGGGCTCGATTAATTTTGAATGGAGGTTACAATGTGATTTGCATTTTATTTACAACATAAAATGGTTTTTATCGTTTTGATTGAATAAAATTTGATGGCTTTCCATAATAAGTACATTATTAGTATATTATAACAAATTTGAGCATAATTTTTCAACAAAAAAAAAGTTATAAGACTCACTAATTAATGCCTCTACATTATATGAAAGTGTTAGGTAAGATTCTAGGGGAAGGACTAAAGTCCATTCATAAAAAGGTACTAAAATACCAAAAAAAATGCACAAGTTCCTATGGCATAATATTGCATGGTGTACTCTCTTTTCTTTTAATGAAGGATTAAAAAGCCGTATTGCATTGGATAAATTTTTTAATTACCCAATGTCCAAACATAATGTCATTTTAAGTGAAAGTTAACGGGGAAAAATCAAACAGAGCCCTCTCTTGGTTAAAATGTAACGTTTTCACTTTGCAATTGTGTTTAGTTAGACTTAATTTTAAGGTTAATTGGTGAAGTTTGGATTTTATTCTATGTGATTATATGTCTTTGTTTCTCATGTTAAGTTAGTTATTATTTGACTCATTACCACCCTGTGTAATTTCGGTATTTTTTCGGCATGATAGCATGTTTTTGTCGGTCTGGAATTTTAACAAAAAAATTTAATTTAAATGATATTTTCCAGTATGAAACGATTGTACTATAATCGGACCATAAAATACTCTACCATCGAATAATTTGATTTGGATTTTTTTTTAATCCTTGCTTTCATTTAAACTAAAATTTGGGAGTCCACCCTTTTGTAAATGAATAGTAGATTTAATAATAAAAAAATTAGTAAGAGGAATTTGGGTCTCGAATCCATAGCTAAATTTCAACAAGCAAACCAGCTATTAACTGTAAATTTTGAGGGTGTTGTCGCAGTTTCCTTTTTGGCAGCTCATTTTCTACTGCTTGGGCATTATCTATTGCAATCAATAACTATCAGAGGAGTTTCACAAAGTAGTAGCTTTCACTTCTAACCACATTTGTCTGCTCTCTCTAAGTTGAATTTGTAAGTTGGAACATTTTCCATACAGTTTTCTCTCCTATTTTCCCCCCTCTTTATCTATTCAACACATTTTCACCTTAGTATCCATCGAGTGCAGTACACTTCAAAGCTAGAAACCGAAGAACCCAAAACAGTAATTAATTAAGTCACAAGATTTCAGAAACAAACAAAACACAAATGAAAGGCACAGAGGGAAATGGGGGGAGGAAGTAAAGGAAGGGAAAGGAAACAGACAGCTAATAGCGAGCTGACCTCAAAGATAACGTTGACAGCCATGAAGTAGTCGCTCTCGACCGCCACGGTGGCGCTGTAGACGGTGCCGTACTGGGAAGCGGTGGCGTTGAAAACGATGCGCGGCCTGTCCGCCGGGTCCCCGTACAAGGTGACGAACGGCTTGCCGGAGCCGACGGTGATCTTCTCCCAGTACACCCCTCCGCCGATCCACACCACCGTCCGCCTCGTGTTCCCCTCCGGGATGCTGCGGATGGCCTCCGTCACCGTCCCGAAATCCGCCGACCCTTCGCTCTTGGCGACCCTGATCACCCTGGGCCGGCCGCTCTCCGCCGCCGACAGCCGCTGGTCGCCGTCCGTGCCTTGCGATGACGGCGAGGATGATCTCATGCTGTGGGCGGCCCATGATGCCAGCTGGGACGGGTCGGAAGGGACGAGGTGCGGCTTTGAGTCTGCTAGATGGAACAAGTAATTAAGCAGTAGGAGTAGAAGAAGAAGAAGAAGAAATGGTTTGGGTTTCATTTGAGTGCTTCTTCTGATCAACAGAGTGTGCTTTAGATTAGATTTTGGGTTTCATTGATGAGGACTAAGGAGGGAGAAGGGGAGAGGGCAGTTATAGCAGTTATTTAATTTCGGCGGTTAATGCTATGATCCCAGCTTTTTGTCACTTTACCCAATTTCCCATCCCTTTAATTTGTTGGTGACATTATATAGCTAGCTGCCTTTTTGTTTTCTTTGGTTGTAACTTTCTAACTCGCCCAATGGGTTAGGCTCTAATGGATGACGAATCTTGTATCTTGCATCAGTATTATAGAGCAAGTATCAAGTATATATGGATGGATTTCTTTGATAGATTGGAATCTGTCTTAATCGTAGAAAACTTATTAAAATCCGGTTGTATCATCGTGTCCTATCGTCGTATTATAGTATCACTATGTGATGGTACGATTATATTAACCAGGAGTTTTGTACGCCGGTTTTACGGGCCGGAGTTTTGTACTATAACCCAAGTCATTGTTTATATCCATTGTTAATAAAAGTAAAGCCGCGCATATTTTGAGTGTAAAGTAAAGCAGTAATTCTAAAAACAAAAGGTGGTTTTCGTCCTTGAAAACATATTGTGTACTCTATAAAACATTGGAAATATGTAACACACTAATTTATGAGTCAATAATTTCAAATCCATGTCAACCAACGCCAAAACTTCTGATAGATCATTCACACTGTCTCGCAAAAGAAATAATAATACAAAATTCAAATTAGTAATTACAGCGATAGTCTTTTATAAAAAAAAAAATATGATGGTAGTCGGTAGTGGATCGCTTAAATGCTGTAAGGAGGTAGAAAATGAAATAAAACAAAAGTAGAAGTAAAATTAGTTGAAAGTAGATGGTCTCAGTTCACTCTATATAGTATTCGTTTTGTTAAAAACAATTATGCTTGAAAGAGTGACCCAATGGACTAGTCATATGAGAGTGGTTCACCTCATTCAATATCCAACCCTCAAAAACCATTTGGCTCATCTCTTACTATCCAAGCAATTGGACTTCTATTGTAACTGCCTAACTGGTTTGGAAGTTCTACTTGTGCGGTTGTTCATACTATCCCATTCTTATACAAGAATTTTGAGTGCACTCTAGTTCATCTCAAAACTATATCAATCTTCAGTTGTAATACAATGCACATGGTATGGATGAAATAGCACAAATTGAGATCTTTTATGATTTACTTGTATCACATGTATGTATCTCTTAAACTTGCTAGGGACACCTTCATAAATGCATCTTAATGCAGCCCATTACAAGAACAAACTTATGAGCATAAATGTTTGGAATAGTTGTAACTTATAATTCTAGGTTACAACATGTCATGTTAGACTAATGTCGTGATTTCAGTAAAAAAAAAAAAAGAAGTAATGTAGCAATTAAAATTGATTGCTAAACCTACATTTTATTTAGAGTGTTTAGTCTGAACTAGGACCATGAAATCGGTTTAGTGTTTAGGTTTAAACCGATTTGACCGACAATAATCTTATCAGTTTTGAGTTTTTGGTTCTGAATCGGTTTATATTCTAGTTGTTTTTGTTACGGTTCAACTCGGTAAGAAACCGAAACTGGCTGTAACCGAAACCAACTTTTACTCTTTTGTATGAACGGATTGTTCTCACATGTTTGTGAACATAAAAAGCAAAGAATGTGCCTCCTCCAACGTTTTCCTCTACAGGTTTGTGCGGTAGGAAGGAAGGTATGGCAGAGAGGGGTGTGACTGTGTGAGTTTGATCCATGCGGGGATGCTGAGTCCATAATGGAATAGGTTGAAATATGTTGCATGCTTCATGTTTTGTCATCATGGAAATGTTGCAAACAATGGCAATGTGATCCGACTGAATCGCCGCCACTTTATTGCAAATCCCATTCACTTGGATTTTGTGGATCTGTACCTTCTAGTTGATAACTTTACATGATAATTTAAATTCGTTTTGTTAATATTATCCAATTTGATTTGAATCCGTTATTGTAAATATTATTCGACTTGATTCGCATTTGGTGCACACCAAATATGAATATTGAAGTACTTGTCATGTTTCTCCTATTGCCATCACTACTTACCATGACATTTTCGAACCACACGTATGTCTATGTAGTAGATGTACTACTTTTTTCAGCAAACCAGTGGTATGGAGGGTTTCTTGTTAAGTATCTAGTACAATGATGGGTGTTTTATTTGCGTCATCAAAATGATGTTTTGTTGTCTTCTTGATGAAGTATTTGTTCAACTATGAATCAGATTGATGTTAGTCTCTAGCATAGTACGGGTTCGGGTCTAGTGAGATTTTATTTACGAGTAAATTATATAATATTGTATTGAAGTTCACTCCATTCAATATATCTGCTTAAGTACTTATTTATCAAATTATCAATTATTCGATTGTCTCACTTCTCGTATAATTCATAAGCTAGCTAATAAACTATCTATTATAGACAATATAATAAAATGTTGTACAAAAAAATTATCTTAATAAAACAAATGTGCTGGGTTAAAAAATATGGTGAGAGATTTTTTTTTATATCTCTAGTAGAATGAAAAATATTTTTAATTACGAGGTAGAAGGTTGAGGACTTTCAATATTCTCTAATCAATATAGTGTTATTTATTTACGTATATCATAATATTGATGATAGTTAAATTTCCTAACAACTGGATCTTGACTTCTTAAACTACCCATAATAAACTAGTTCCTACACATATATATAACCATGGTGGCATCTTTTTTGGATGCATTCAATGCACTCGCCTCATAATCATCATTCCGAGCATGTGACTCATGTCAAAATGGTATCAATCATCACTTATGATCTTATGAACAAGAAACACATGAATTTTCAAAAAAAAAAACATTCAAAATTGGCTTTAATTTGAAGGATTTAATATTTTAGGGATTTAGAGTTAGGGTTTAGGTTTACAATTTGGGGTTTTTGGTTGGGATTCAAAATTGAAGGTTGAATGGTTAGAATAATGGATTGATTAGTTGTGATTCTATGTTACATCATCATATTAGATCAATGCTACTAATTACCGTTCAAAATTTAATATACTATGGACACTTTTAAAATTGAAGGATTTAATATTTTAGGGATTTAGAGTTAGGGTTTAGGTTTACAATTTGGGGTTTTTGGTTGGGATTCAAAATTGAAGGTTGAATGGTTAGAATAATGGATTGATTAGTTGTGATTCTATGTTACATCATCATATTAGATCAATGCTACTAATTACCGTTCAAAATTTAATATACTATGGACACTTTTAAAATTGGGTGCATTCAATACACCAAAAAAGTAAGTGCACCCGAAGTAGCCACCATATAACCATATTTATTTTTTCCAAGGAGAATCCTAAGACCCCACTCCTTCTCAGTTCTCACCTCCCTCGGCCATGCGGCAGGTGTAATTTAGGAGTAGAAGTAAAATAGATAGTTGTTCTTTCTCTATGCATGATTGCATCATGTGTGCAGTGAAGTCGAGGAATTGAGGAGATGTGACGTCGTGCACATATGTGGTACTACGTACAGCGTGGTCAATGTTTAAATGTAAACGGGCTCCATTGTGGATCCAGCAAAGAGTACGAAAGAACTTAATAGAAAGGAGAGTGTAATGTCGTTGTAAACTTGTAATGCAGCATCTGGGACAAGGAGCTGCTCCAAGAGACTCAGTAATTGTTTATCCTGTTCTCCATGACGATTGGCGTCCCAATATGAAGCGTGGAGCGTGCGTGCGCGGTGTAGTGATTCCAAGAGAAACTGTGCTCGAGTCAAATGGGCGGTTCAAGTAAACATGGGTCTACTGGAGACCAAGTAGCAGCAGGACTGTTCTCAAGACCTCATTTTTCAAGTCTCAACCGTTGGTGGGAGCAGCGAATTAAGTCGCGACGACGAAGAACTCAAATGGCTGTTCATGAGGTTGCTGTATATTGACTATTGAGAGAGCCTGTCATGTTACCTGTCTCGGCAATGGAGGATGCATAGTTTTAGTTATTGCGATTTGCGAACGTAATCCATCACAGCACTGACCTGTGGAGAATGGAGAATGGTAGTTCTAGATAACATCCGTTTGGAGAATGGAAGGAGATCACCTGCCATCATGGTGATCTTGATTTCTCATAGTTATGGTGGAAGATCCCTCGTCATAACCAAAACATAACGATGAAGTTACCGAAGGACTATGAAGTTCTAGATAAGTCAACAGATTCGACACACGACAAAGTTCAGCACTTTGACTCTTTCCCAAGAATTAAAAGGAGAAGAGAAACCACTGGCAATATGTGGCAGCATTACAAACCCAGAAATGCAGAAACAAGGTCAAAATCCAGAATTGGGACCATTGCCTACATTAAATAACTAAATCACAACACAAAAATACTACACGGAAAAATTACTTCCCGAATTTGCTTATGCACTTGCTTGCTGGAGCTCAATGATGCAGGGCAGGGTCCTTCCTTTTCTTTCATGCTTCTCAATCATCTCTAATTGTAGACCGGCCTTAATCAAGGTGCGTGTACCTGGAGTCTGGAAGCCTGCAGGTTACTGAAGGAACAGAAATGTACTGGAAGAGGATGAGACGCTGAGCAAAGAGAGCATCGATTTTTATAGGCCAAGTTTGCCGAGAAGTTCCTGCCATCTAGGGGTCTCCTCGTCGAATATGTAAGTCAGAGGAGAAACCAGAACACCACTGCCTCCAATCTGCACAAATCCATACAAAATAAACGAGGGAACACTCAAGGTGTTAGTGTCACATGGGATTGGATGTAGTACAGCCTCCACTGTTAAGCTTATCTGAGGCTAAAAAATACTAACTAGAGAACGAATAACTGACCGCTCTAAGTTGCTGCACAGACTTGTACAATTCCTTCTTTGGTACACAAATGACTATGGCATAATAGTCAACCACAACTTCTCCATCACGTTTGCAGAAAACTGGACTTACAGTAGGCCCCTGTGCGAAGAACAAACAAGATAAATAATAAGATTTAACTTTCAGCCAAACAAAGTAAGCTCAGAGAAGATTACAGGCAAATTCATCTTAAGCTGTAGTTAGATGAAGAGCTTCAGCTCAATCATCACATTCGAACTGTAATTATGCAAAAAAAAAAAAAAAAAAAAAATCTTCAAAGTACATATAAATAAATAAATGGAGTGGCAGCAAATTGCATTTTTGTTGCAAGACTTCCTTACCTGCAGGCCAGCCAAAGATGGCTGACTCAGTACTCGCTCAGCCACTTCATCGGGACTATTTCCTCTCATGTTTGCAACCACCTAACATGGAACGGGTTGAGAAAACAAAAAACCCAGTACATTGAGTACTTTATTCTTCTTTTCCTTCCTTTCTAAGGTGTTCTGCAATAGGAACATAAACAACTGACAGTACCGTGAATTGACCAACAGCCCTCAAATGTGCCTCCAATCTTTCAATGATCTCATGTGTTGTGTCCAACAAGCCTTTCCGGTGCACTAATGATTTCTTGCTTGCAACAAGAACAGTCTACAGTAACAAATTAACTTTTGAGGTGATGTATATGCAGAGCAACCAATTTTGTCAATTGAGCATAGGAGACATGGTTGGAAAGATCCTCCCTCGTCTTTGAAGTAGCTAGCTTTACCTGACTCTCCAATACAACTCCACCTTCGATTTCTTTCAGGTTATTTTCCCTGAGGGTTGTCCCACTACTGACAAGGTCTAAAATTGCATCAGCTATACCCATCTAGAGTAACAAAGAAAAGGAAAATCGTCATTATCTAGACTAATGATACAATCTCCAAATGAGTTACGGTACTCACTACTCTATATTGATTTTTCGTTGTACTTCTGTATTCAAGAAAAAGGGACAAAATTAATAGAAGCAGAGATTGAAGGAAAAAAATTCTCACCGCTGGTGCTGCTTCTAAGGCTCCATCAGCAGTTGAAAAAACCACATGCTTCAGTCCCTTTTCCCTCATAAACTTAGGTCCTAGCTGTTATGAATTTAAAGTTCCAAAAGGAATAATAAGAGAAGAGCAAGGAACGGAAGTGCAAGGAACAGTTGAATAAGCAGTCCAGTATAAATACATAGATACATGAAACGGCCACACAGTAACGTACATAAGTAAATCCAGTTGCAACTCGTAGAGGTTTCTCAGCTGTCCACTGAGGCATTCGAGCCAGCTCATCCATGGAATTTATGTTTTCAAAGATGCCATATTTTGGTATCTGAGTAACAGTCAGCAGAACTGTGCATTTTAGAATATCAAACTGGAAATGATGAAATAATAACCATGGTGAATGCAGGTGAATTCGAGCTTCCACCAGTGCCAAGAAGAAGACACTTACAGCTATCGATAAATGGCAATCCCCAAAATTAAGAGAATCGTGAACAAGGATAAGATCTTCACTTCCCTGTCCACAAGTTTCACATGTAAGTGTCATGTATCTATGAATTTACCATGTAAATAAGTTTATAAATATAATCCCTTAAAACCAAACGAAACCAAAGACAGAGTAGCTGGAAAATGCGCTGCTTTCATATCTCACATATGAGGAACTGCATTATCCCATTGGAATTACTAAATTCCTAGGAGCTACTGCTCAAAACAAGAAGATTTTACATTAAACACAAGAACAGAATAAAAGCTATGTTTCAGCAATTTAGAAGTCCTGGGGAGTAGCCACTCATATCCTCTGTAATTGTCTTTCAGCAATCAAGACACATGAGCACATGCTTCCATTCATATCCACGCATGAAATGCATGCAGAGTGAGCATTAAATAAATGCTCCCATCCATCATTTTCAAAAATAAGAGAAACATAAATTGGGTTGGACAACAAAGATGAGCATCAAGCCAAAGTGAACAACTGATTAGAATATCAAATGTTACCTGGCCATATTCACTGACTATATCAAGGCCCACAATTCCAAGGTCCAAATCTCCAGATAACAACTTTCTAACAATGTCTTTGGGTCGCTGGAACCAGACTTCCAAGTTGGACAGCTAGAGAACAGAATGACAGATATATGTAAACAAAGCCAGTGCTTTTATCAAACGAAAAACAGGGAAACCATTTCAGGAACTATTTAACATAAGGAATTGCCCAAAGGCTAATGTTTCATAAAGAGAGAAAAGATACCTGAGGAATGTCCGCAACATATTGTCGAGGATTAACCTTTCTGACAGATAGTTGACAGTCCTTCACACAAAAAAGTAAGACAGAACTAATTATGGATAATGTTTATGTACAAGAACGACAAATTCCAAGTATAGAGCTTAAAGGTACTAACATAAGTCTTCCTCTATTGTTAATATTCCAAGTTCCAGCCAATTTCCCCACAACCACCGAGCAAGAAGAAAAACATGAAACTGAAACTGTACAATGAGGCGCTCACCTTAAGGAGATCAAGAGTGTCGTCGGCCATCCGTCCTTTGCTAGGCAAGCCAAGTCGAAGCTCATTCCGGTCAGAGACTCTAGACCCAGCTCCGCCATTAACGGAGACTTGATCTTGCAATAGGCTGCAGCGGACAATTCTTGTAGGAAAGGCGACGGAAAGTGGCAGCCTAGCGCGGGAAGCAGAATGCAGACCAGGACATAGGGGAAAAAGAGAACAGGAAGAAGAGGTGGACGAAGGAGGAGCCCGAAGTGACATATCGTGGCTGGCAAGCTCTTCCTGGAGGTGTCGCTGTTTACAATCACCCAATTCGACGCGACCCAAACCAACAGTCCCACTTTCTGGCGCTGTTGCTACGACTGGCAGTGGAGTAAATGGGTTCTAGTGAGTATAAGCAATTTCTTTCATGGAAGCCAATCTAATAAGCTCTACCAATCATCAGGGAGTGGAACAGAATCGAAATGGAAACTAATTCAGTTCAAGCAAGGAACTTGCTTATGCTTATGTAACAATTTAGACACCAAGAACTGCTACGAAGTACAAAGGAAATTAGTATGTAGAGAACTATACAAAAGAAGTGTTTCTGGTGATGTAAGGAGTCTGCACTTTTCAATTTGTCGACAAAGCACAATCATTGCTCATCCTGCATCAATAATCAATTGTCAATTCAGCGAATTTGCGTGACTTACAGGGCAGGCAGCGGCAAATGGGAAGCGGAGAGCACGGCGGTGGAGAAGTGGATAGAAGCGTGCGGTGGCGAGTTTCGTCCGGTGGCAAAGGTTTCTCGTAGGGGTTGGGTGACGGCGGCGGGGGAGTTTGTGTGCAACGGGTAGTAAGGTTTTCAGTGGAGGAGAAGGGACGCTCGAATGAAGAAAATAGAAAAGGGCGAAAATTGTTTGCTCTGAACTCTGAAGAGAGGCCGAGGGTGGGTAGCGGGCGGCTGTGAGAATTTGGGTGAGAAGGACAAGTTGTAAAATTTGTTGATGTTAGGGATTTGAATCGTTAATCTCGTCCAGTGAAAACAATCATGCTTGTGAGTTTCTGACCAGGGTTGTCGACCCTGTATTCTGACGGCCAGTTCAATCATGTTCGACCAGAATCGGTCATTTAAACAGTCAGAATATACTTTTGTTTAGGAATGCCTGCAAAGACTCATCCACACAATTCCGACTCAATTCACACGTATTTATTGTCAAAATTATAGTTAAGATTGGGTGAGAGTTTTTTTTACAACCTGCCTCGACTGGATTGGGTCAGGATTATGAGTAAAGCAACCCATAGAATCCGACCCAACCCATGTTGAACTATTGTCATATGTGTTGTATCAATATTTGTGCGAAAATTAACCTATCTTGTCATATTTTTCTCCTATGGTTTCCCTAACATAATACATTCTTCAACTTAATATTTAGACGTAGATTTAATATAAGCTATGATTCACGTGTGATGAATGTATCAGCTTATAACCACTTTAGCTTAGTTGGAAAAATATTTATGAAAAAAACTAAACATATGTTGAAGTAAATTTCATTTCATTAAAATCCAAACAAGATTTATGCACATTGATACTTTTTTCCACTATTTATTTGCTTAAAATTTTAATTGTTTATATAATATTTTTGTAGTGTAGAATAGTTTTCTTTTTGTGTTGGGTTTGGTTTTTAATTAAAAGTATCTCCAATCTGACCCAACCCAATTATAAACAAACTATAGGGTTTTAATTTTTTTGGATGAGTTTAAATTTAATATTTTCAAAATCGTAATACATGGGTTGGGTGATTAAATGTACCAAACCCGAACCACCTGACCATGTACACCTCTAATTATGTTGGACGATTCTATAAAACGCCAAAATTGAGTTAAACCAGTCAAAAATGGATTAACCCAGTTAAAATTGGGTGGTCTGACCAGTCAAAACCTGGTTTGAAGATAAGGATTTATAATTTTATAATATATATTTCATTTGAAGAAATAATTTGGTAATATAATTAATGTAGATTAGTGAAATTGTTTTAAAATATGTCAAATATATGCATAATCTATTTGGTAGTTGAGGTTTTCTCACACATTATGTTAAAATCGACTTGAACTGGTTGAACCCGATCTGACCAGTAAACCTCAAACCACTTGTCAAACCGGTTTGATGACTTAATCCGATTTGACAACCTTGGTTATGACACCAAAAAAAAAAATCAAGACCCAAAGGGGTACCCCTAAAATTTGGTGTAAAAGGTAACGAATTCTGGTAGAAGTTTGAGTATGGGGAAAAAGAAAATAATTAGGTAGTAGTCTATGTGATTCAAACCTGTGACTTTCATAAACCAATTAGTCTCAAGAACACTAGTTGTTGGAAGAAGTTTCCCAAAAAAAAAAAACTAGTTGTTGGAAGAAGGTTAATTATGAATCATATATCACTCTCTTACACACGGCCTAAAACGAAAGCCAACTCATGGACTTGAAGTTAGTAGAGGCCCTTCATATCTTGTGTTTCAATCAACTGTTAATAGTGAGGTTAGTGGAAATTCTTATACATGACCACTTGATCAAACTCAAGTTGTTGGGAGGAGGTTAATTATGGATCTTATATCACTCTTTTATAATGACATGGTAGTTAATGTTGAGGCTCTTTTTGTACATATTTATTTCCTGAGGACTGTTTATGTTATTTTCCTTGGTCTTTTACCCTAGCTTCACGTTGCTTGGTGATCAAGCTAGCTAGACTATATATATCAGTGTTCCCTGTATGCGCCGCACAAGAGAGAACTGGTGAACAGAAGAAATAAATTACATCTCCGAGAGCGTAGAGCTCTCCGTGGACTAGTCCCGTTCGGTTATGAACGGGGAAACCACGTAAATCCTCGTGTTCTTTCGTTTCCGCAATCATCGTGTTTTACATGGTATCAGAGCTGTGAGTGGATTCACAGGGTTCTCTTTCGTTCATCATGAGTGGTACTTCGGCAGATGATTCACAATCGCCTTCCCCTCTCTATCTCCATCGATCGGACAACCCCAGTCAATTGTTTGTTGGGGAATTACTTACCGACGTTAATTATGGTGAATGGATTGGGGACATCACCGATTGCCTTCTTGCTAAAAACAAACTCGGTTTTGTTGATGGGAGCTTTCCTATTCCCGACTCGGGTGCTGAATTGCGGGGGTATTGGGACGAAATTCACTCCTTGGCTCCTTCCTTGGAGTGCTCTTGTCATGGCTGTACGTGCGATGTCAAGCAGCGGCAGCGGTCAGTCAAAGAGAGTGAGCAACTCTTTGATTTTTTGATGGGCCTAGATGATGCCTTTTCTACCGTAAAGTCTCAAATTCTTGCGATGAAGCCAACACCGACATTAGCCGAAGCTTATCGCATGGTCACTAATGATGAGCAGCAGCGAAATATCGCGCACAGTCAGCGTCCCAAATCCGAGGCAGCTGCGTTCCAGACTCAGGGGGAGCGCCGTTCTGATCGGGGTTCTCAACCGGGCGAGCGTGATGCGGATGGCAAGCCGAGATGCTCGCATTGCAACAAGGTTGGTGATATGATCCCAAATAGCCAACTGTACACTTCACAATTACTCGACAAAGAAGTTAACAAAGTTGGGAAGAAGAAGGGCAGAATTTGGCTAAGTCAAAATCCGTGTTCAGGATACATACTTTGGAGGCATGGTTCTCTCAATTGGTTTGGTGGAAATTCAAGGTTAAAGTTTTGTTTTGTAGATAAAGTTTCTATGTTTCCAATGATATGCTTTGTGGAGCCAGATGATGTCATTAAGGTTGTTTTTCAAGGCCTCAAAGTTGCTATCTCAAAACTGGAAAACTGCCAGAAAATGACTAAGGCAGAAAACTGTTCTGTGAAGCCTAGTTTGGAGCTCAATTCAAGGAGCATGGATGGGATTCAAGTCAAAATGCTTCCACAACATGAAACTAGGTATGTTTGTGAACAACGGGAAGGAATTGGATGAAGAATTGGAGTTCGGGAAGGCCTTCAACAAAAGGCACGAAGTTAGTACGAAAGCTGCCTTTTGACTGTTTTCCGGGCAGCTTACTTGTGCTTGAAGAAAGAGAGTTTAAATCCGAATTTTGTGTCCTTTTTAGTGTAGAATTTTACCTTAATTGTTTTCTAGTTCTAATAGGATTATATTAGGTTTTATTTGCCTTTAAATACCGTTCTATTTCGTTGTAAAAAGAAGACTTTGATTAATCGAAAAACAAACCCTTTGGTTTTGTGCAAGTTGCGACTTGTTTGAGTTTGGTGGATTCCAAACTTGTGAGCTTTGTATCGATTGAATATCCTCTTCAATCGTGGTCGAGCAGCTACCCTTTTATACCATACGAGCTTTCCCCAGGTGTGGAATTGTCCGTTGGTTCCGTTTTATCTCAAGTTCGTATTAAGAGCGCTTCGTTCTTGATTCGAGCTCAATCGATTCTTTGATTGAGTCGTTGCTGCGTTACTTTGATAAAAATACACCCTCCAGGGTCGTATCAGTTGGTCATTTTAAGGAAACATGTTACAAACTCATTGGTTTTCCTCCTCGCGATGACAGCAAGGGGGAGCGTCCACGTCGGCGCAATGATCGGGGTGTGAAATCCACTCCTCAGGCGGCTCAGGTAGAGGCAGGGGACATTCCAATTCCTGGCCTTACAGCCGCCCAGTTTGCCCAGCTGAAGAGTTTTTTAGCTGCGGACCAGAAACCGCCCACTGCCTCGTTTGATCCTACTTCAAATATGGCGGGTACGTTATCGATTCCTAACTCTGCTTGGGTGATTGACAGTGGTTGCAATGAGCATATTGTTAATGATGTTTCGTTGTTGGATAATGAGTTGGACACATCTCCAACTCTGCAGGTTAAGATTCCTAATGGTAGTGGGGTTAAAGTTCACAGTATAGGCACTGCCAGTTTGTCTACTGATTTATCTCTTCGTCGAGTACTGCATGTTCCGGAATTTCAGTGCAACCTATTATTTGTGAGCCAACTTACTACTGATCTTCCAGTGGCATTGATTTTCTTGAGTGATTTATGTATCATTCAGGACTTACCCTCCAAGAAGCTGATTGGGATGGGTAAGCATGTGGATGGATTGTATTATCTCCGGCTGTTTGATCAGGGTCATCCTATGGCGCATTCTGTTCGACGGGCTGTGGATAATGCGGAGCTTTGGCATAGCCGTTTGGGTCATCCGTCTCCAGCGAAACTTGCTGTTTTGGAGAAATTTATTTCATGTTCTTTAGCTCATAATAAAGAACCTTGTCGGTCTTGTCTTCGAGCAAAACAGACACGAGATTCCTTTGCACCCAGTACTATTAAGTCAGTATCTTGTTTTGAGCTCATACATGTTGACATTTGGGGCAGTTATCAGACAGCTTCTATTTCCGGAGCTCATTACTTTTTGACTATCGTGGATGATTATAGTCGGGCAGTTTGGGTCTTCTTAATGCGTTATAAGTCTGATGTTGGTCGTTTTCTCTTATTTTTCTGCAACCTTGCTCGCACACAGTTTGGCAAGCAGGTTCGTCGTATTCAGGCAGATAATGGTCCCGAGTTCTCCACCAATCTGTTGACTTCTTTTTATGAGCAAGAAGGAATTGTGCTGCAGACTTCGTGCACAAACACTCCTCAACAAAACGGTGTCGTGGAACGCAAGCATAGACATCTTCTTGACACTGCGCGTGCACTGCGTTTTCATGCCAACCTGCCCATAAAGTTTTGGGGCGAGTGTGTGCTTACTGCAGCCTATCTTATCAACCGTATGCCCTTGGTCACCATTGGCAACTAATCTCCTTTTCAACTGCTTTTTGATCGAGATCCATCATATGAGCATTTGCGCAGCTTTGGCTGCTTGGTTTACTCCCGGGATACTCATCATAATTTGCATAAATTTGGTGAGCGTGGACGCGCGGGTATTTTCCTTGGTTATCCATCAAATCAACGTGGCTATCGTGTTTATGATCTGGAGAAACGTCATATATATACTTCTCGTGATGTACGATTCTTGGAATCAGTGTTTCCCTACCGGGATATGGCGAATATATCGCGTCTTACCCCTACACTGGTTTCCATACCTCAGTTTGCACC